TTTAAACACAAACTTGTGTAGGACGTCATGTTCTAGTTCTAGAAACATTGGCTGATGCACGACGTCCTCTGCCCTACATCTTCGGGTGTGTACGGGTGTTTGAAAACGTTGAACTCGCCCCCAGAATACACGTCACGTGATGCATCACGAGTGTGTTGCCACTCACGCGCTTAGATGTTCGGGTTACACGGTGAAAGGTCAAGGTTCATGTACACTGTCATACTGTCAAGCTATAGGCCTACCCATTAGGAAAACTGTAATGTGCGTATTTCGTTGCTATTCGCGGTTTATGTTATGTTGTTATTATATTTTTTATTACACTGAAAGTACAGTATAAATTATGAAGGAATGTTGATTTCCGTTGTAACTATTGACAGTTGAATCAACAGTTACAGTCTACTGTTGGGTGTGTTTACGTTACTGCCTTCTCGTGGCGCTATTGCTTCATGTTCTGTAATACCGTAGTAAGTTTTTAAAACATGTTTGCTTAGTTAACATAGACAATCGAATATTACAGGGTTTGAATTTAGTGAGTAATTTCTGGCACTGAAGCCGTTAATCAGTATAGAAAATCTTTAGTAGTGGCCGTGTTTGGAGGGGGGGGGGGGCAGTACCCCTCCGAACTATATAGAATGTTTCAAGTAACCCCCCCCCCCCCCACCCCGTAGGAAAACGTATGGTGGACAAACTGTTTGGTGAAAAGAGCCACTGTATACATTGTCGTTTGAAATAAACCATCTCTGCTTGTTTTGAATGGTAGCTACTCATTAGTCAATTAGAAAAAAAGGAAAAAAAATAAATATATTATTTAAAAAAACATTTATAATCATACGATTTTAAATGCGTATAAAATGAGAATAAAACTAAATTTTTCTAGTAAAAGCATTGGTCGGCAAAATGTGTACTAGATTTCATAAGCGCACAATGCTTTTGTTAAAGAGAGAAAGTGCATTTTTATGATCTTTTTAGTACTTTTAAACGCTGATAAATAATATAGGCGTATTTTTAAAATATTTTTTTATTCTATAGCCTAGGTCTGTTGGCTGTTGGAAAATCTTTGCAGGTCCTGATGACCATTTGACATGATCGTACCATCTATGTATTCGTTTTTTACAAGTGTCAAGATATTCCCTTACAGGCCCTAATGGACACTTGAAATATCACACATCATGTTAGTGAAGAAGCAATCGTTCTGTGTGGTTACCTTGTAGCTTTCTGTAGTATTCATGCCCGTCGCTTGCATTGTGATTTCTGTATTTTAAATAGCCTGGTTGGAAGTAGAAAAAAAATAGCTATACATATCCAAAAAAACTAAGTAAAGCCGTGAGCTGCCCACTTTGACTGCTACCACCATTTCCGCTTTTCCTTTCGATTTCTTCTTTGTTATCATGTCTCTTTGGGCTTTCTTCGCCTGCATCTTTTGTCTTGTTTTGCGTTTTTTATTTTTTTAAAAACACTTTCCTTAGCCGTGGCATTTATTGTTGGTATGCATGTGCTAAAACATGCATTTTATGACGCATCTACGTGGCTGTACATCAAGAACGCGTTGATGATTGATTGCATGTGGATGATAATTACAGTGTTAATGTTACGGGATTTTCTTAACTTGTCACGTACATTACACAGGCAGGTGTTGACGTATGTGTGGCAGAGGCGTAGCGACCCTTCCCGGCGCCCGGGGACAAACTTTTCGATTTGCCACCCCCCCCCCAAGATTTCGATTTGCACCCCCCCCCCCTTTTTAAACTCGATTTACACCTCCCCCCCCCTGATTTCGATTTGCATCCCCCCCTCAAACTTTCGATTAGCACCACCCTCAACCTTTCAATTTATTTTTCCAACCCATTTTGGCGTCCCCTATGGTCGGCGCCCGGGGACGTATGTCCCCCCCCCCTCGCTACGCTACTAATGTGTGGTCAGACATCACAGTCACGTGATGACGTATGTGTGGTCAGATCCACCCACAGTTAAGATTTTCGTCAAGTCGCTCAAACGCTCCTCTCAATACTTTTGTAATTACACTTTTTTTTTCAAATCGATTCAATTACATTAGAAAAAAAATGTTGAACTGTATTATAACTAAATATTTACGAGCCGCAGGAAATTATGAAATCGGCAACAGCTTATTCTTTGACATTTTGCAAAGTGCCGAATCGTGTTTTTTTTTTTTAATTTACCAGTTGACGGTAAAATCAGCATCATGGGCGGGTAAAATATCGATGTAGTTGACGATAGGCGCAGTAACACGAAGTATAGAAGGGAGTTGTGTGTTGATTATTTGTAGTTTTTGATGTGTTTGTGACTACATGTCCCTAATGACAACAAGGTGATCATGAGCTTTGAGCGTAACTGTCTTGATCTACCTTTCAGCACTAATACTGTAAGTTGAAGGAGGGGAGAGGTCCCGTATAGGGCCACCGCTTCAGTCGCGTTAGAAGTACTTGATTAAAAGTACTTCGTCATACTTATAACGAAAGTACTTCGTCATACTTGTAACAAAAGTGCTTTATCATAGTAGTAACAGAGGTACTGTGTCGTACTAGAAGTACTTCGCTATTATTTGTAAATCTAAATATATTTCCTCATACTTCTAACCACGGTATTTCGTCATTTATAACTGGGGTACTTTGTCATATAAGCAACTTGCGCGTCACAATGCAGTTTACCTATAATCTATGTACTCATCACACTGTTGTAAGTGATCACTATCAAGGTTCAATGCTTTCATACATCCAGGTATAATAAGTGTGCGTGTCTTTGAATTGAACCGCGATCGCCTAGTCATTGTTTACGTTTAGTTATCTCCCAAGGATAAGTAAACTGATTAGCTATGGAAAGCAAAGATTAATTATCTCAGTAATTTAGGTCATAGGACACTTTTGTCAGTTAAGGCTGTATCTGGTATGGTGGGTGTCTGAGGCTAAAGTACCGGTCAGGTCATTGACCTTTGTCCGCTGTTTAAAAAAATAATTAAACTTGGCTGTAATGGGTTTGTCGAGTGGGGGTCATGGAGATTTATGGAGAAGTGTGTGTTGGATGGGGTGGGGGTGGCGATATGACTTCTGAGAGGTTGGTGTAAGTAGTTCAGTAGCGTCAAAAGGGTGTGGGGGGGGGGGGGGGTGACCGCACCGGATTACTCTATTCAATTAAGCGACACCAAAACGAAATTTCTTTTCTTTTCTTTTTTTTTGTTGTTGTTGAGAAAATTTGCTTTGTCAAGCTAATTAAACTCTTATTACACGTATTTACGTCGCCCATACTTGTTAGCACTGTGTGTCACAATGTGGATTAGGGTGACACCAAATTGTGTATTAGTACACTATAGAAAGATCGTTTTGGTGTGGTGTTGCCACATTGAGATACCGCAATGGGTGTCACCCAACTTAGTAACGCCCCTGAGTAAGTTGACAGGGAGGAGGGTCAATAATATCAAAGAAAGTTATGTAATTTATCCTGAGGATTCTAGGTCAGTAAGACTGTTTGGGGAAGTCTGTAGGCTGGACTGTTGGTGTTCTTTATACAATGGAGCAACTCTACTTCTAGAAATTTCTTACATCTGGGTCACAAATTAAACTGCTGTCCATCATCCTTTCCCGTCGGTTCTCAAGACACATAGGGCAGAGGAAGTAGAGTTCATCTGATCCAATTACCCCGGCATCCAGAAAGATAACGTGGGCAGCATTATGCCCTAACCAGAGTCAGGTACTTACTGAGCTGATTCAGGGACGTTTTTCAGACTCAAAACCCGGATCCGAACTCTAGACTTTTGGGTTAGCAGTTAAAGCTACTGACAGCTTGAGTGTATATCTAAGTAGCATAAGCACATGAATTGCCTTGTATTCACATGTATCTAAACCACTTGAGACAGGACAGTGAAACCAAACTGTGATCCAATTAGAGACTTGCTGTAGCGTGTTTACAGTTCAAGATGAACTGGATTGTTTTGTATTAGTCTGTCACATGCTTGAACCTATTAAATCACATGATTCCCCAACCCACCCCCTTTTTGTTTTCCAATCTTATCATAGGCTACATGGCTATTTACTTAATCTTGCTCATTTAGTATTATCTCTCTCTTTGACAACACAGATATCAGTTAAACCCTGATTAAAGTAAGTTCACTGAATACTATGCTGACCTTAGTACTGATCATTTCTGTTGTGTTTAGGATATACTTAATGTCAACTGGAATTTCACAGTGTTGAGTGTATCTATTTAATATCTACATACGGCCATTCAGTAAATATTACTTCTCTTTATTTTGACAGCTTGTTTTTCTATTTAGCTTTCAAATCTGTGTATGTTTGTTTTTTTGCATGCATGCGTATGTGCACAGGTGCATGATATTTCTTTACCTTTTTGCTCTTGTTACTTAATTTAATTTTCTTGTCTTAGGCAAAGATTGCTCTCCCTTGAGACTCATCTCCCTTGTGACTTATCTCCCTTGAATTAAAGCAATTAAATTGTTTTTTAAGCAACCAGTTTTCACTGCATCCTGTCTTGAATACTTGCTTCAACTCAACCCCCACTTTCCACATTCTAAATGACTTTTCAGTTTGTTCTTAGTGTATTTTCATTTAAAAACAATGTTTGGTTACTTTGTTATTTCAAACAATTACAACATCAATGTGCATTTTTGCATGAATTTGGTTTGTATAGAACATTTTGGGTTCTTGCAAGGCAGCCATGGAACTGTCTCCACAGAGTTATATCACAACTGATCATCTACATTATTGCTGGGGCAGGATTTGGATTAAGGGCAAGATTTGGATTATGGCTTGAGTCAAGTTTTGGGCTAACCATATCACAAAGACATAGCTTTGATGAAACCTTTATAACATTCTTACATGTGTCATTGATTGTGCTTGCTATTGTGATGGGTAACCATATCAAAGACATAGCTTTGATGAAACCTTTATAACATTCTTACATGTGTCAGTGAGTGCATGCTACTAGTGTTGTACAATGACACAGATTATATTTACCTGTTTTGTTGCCAGAAACCAAGCCGCCACCGGATAATGAGGTAGCCATGTTTGAGATTTCTCATGAATCCGATGATGTCATACTGGACAAGGCTGAACCAGTGTCCAATGGCGTCAATGGGAAATCTGACAAGCCAATCAGCACTGTGGCGTCTACCTACTTTAACCAGAGAATACATATACCAGACTCAGACACTGTAAGTCTTTGTGTTAGTTATCTGTCTAGACACTGTAAGTCTATGTTTTGGTTGTCAAATAGTCTAGTCACTATAAGTCTATGTTTTGGTTGTCAAACTATCTAGACACTATAAGTCTGTTTTACTTATCCAACTTTGTCTAGACATTTTAAGTCTGTTTTACTTGTCCAACTTTGTATAGACACTAAGTATATGTTTTGATTGTCCAACCTTGGGTCAACACTGCCAGTACATATTTAAATTTCTGTTGATGTTAAAACACTTATGTGTAATAGGGAGGTGTCATCATCCGATGGAAGAGCATATGTTTGTTAACCCAAATGTGCCAAATCTGACCCTTAGTCAAACAAAATCAAAAAAATGCTGTAAGATTGTTCTTGGTCGAACCAAAGCAATGGAAGCATATTAGAAAGAAAATAAGGCTTAAGTGTGAGTCAACTGGCAATATGGTGCTTAACATGCTGACACATAATTAATATGACATGTAATACATAATTATGTTTGAGATATTCACCTTCACTACTACAATTAGAATAATGAAGAAGACTTAATAAAATGCATAGTTCATATGGTGTTAGACACCAATCCTTTTTTAAAGCACAGTATAAGCTTTAAAACAAATGTGCTTAAATAAAGATAAAGACTAAAAATGTAAATTAGAATCTTTATCTTTTTTTTCTCACATTATGCTTAAAGCTTGGACTTAATGCAAATTTTGAATGACCCAGCTATTTCTAAGCTCATGATGCTCTATCAAATGACTCATAAAATTTAAAGAGTTGCATCTTGATAAATATGTTTTTTTGTGGAGATGGGGGGGGGGGGGGGGGGGGGGGGGTGGGGGGGACGTACATATGGGCAAACATGAGATAATGAATCAATATGTTTACAATAAAATGGAAAAAATATAAAGTAAATTAATTATTTTAATTAACGTAACTTATTTGTCAAGTAGAACTTAAAATCAGCTCATTAAAATATCCAGGATTATGCTCCGTCCCATCCACATATCACATTGACATGGCAGATAATTTATGCCACTAATTATTTCATTGGCCATCATTAATCATATATTCATAGAGCACACACCTGATACTGCTAGTGGATTACAAAGGATGCATCTCTGTTACATGGTTGTAACAGGCTGACACTGTTTTGTGATCTCTACATCTGTGCTAGTCTAGTCTCTTGTTGGACAGTAAAATATTGGACGTTAAATAACTAGATAATAAAATGTTGGACAGTAAAATATTGGACATTAAATAACTAGATAATAAAATGTTGGACAGTAAAATATTGGACATGAAATAACTAGATAATAAAATGTTGGACTGTAAAATATTGGACATTAAATCACTAGATAATAAAATGTTGGACAGTAAAATATTGGACATTAAATTACTGGATAATAAAATTTTGGACATTAAAGTTATGAAATTATATTATTGGATAATGAATTGTAGGACATTAAAATATTGGCAATTAAATAACTGGATAATAAAATGTTGGACATAAATGTCCTAAATATACAAATAGGACATTTTATTATATTAGCATGGTTGTTTTAGACATGTTTAATGACCAGCCATCAAGAGGCCTGTTGCTATAACACATTACTGTAAAATCCATCAACATCTCCTGTTACTGTTTAGATAGTTCTCATTTATACAATCCTATAAGTCTGGTCTGTATAAAAATAACTGAGATTTATGCAAAAAAATAAATGAAACTTACTTTTTTTTAAAATAATTATAACATTATTCAAACAAATATTTGTTCCTGTGTCATAACTACACTTCCTATACATTTGTACATCATGTGATAACTAGCCATTTTCTGCAACTACTTATGTTGTTCTTTAATTGACAGAGTACAACATTTAGTTTGCGTAAGTTGTGGGCCTTCACAGGTCCAGGGTTCTTGATGAGCATAGCTTACCTAGATCCTGGCAACATTGAGTCAGATCTTCAGTCTGGGTCTACTGCCAAGTTTAAGGTATTTAGTTATGTTAAAACTGTTGAGACTTTATGTAACCTTATCCAAAGAATATGTTAATATTAAAATTATATTGTTTTTTGTTTTTTAAGTAGGCCTATTTCCGAACTCTTGAAAAAAAAAGTTAAATTTTAACTTTTGTATAATTTTGGTTTTGAGTTGCATGCATAATTAATTATTGATGCGGATAATCTTATCTTGAACTTTAAAAAAAAAATTCTGTTGTTTTTCTAGCTGTTATGGGTCCTGATGACATCCACCATACTTGGCTTGCTGATGCAGCGACTGTCGGCCAGGCTGGGGGTGGTCACTGGTCAGCATCTGGCTGAGGTGTGCTACCAGCAGTATAGAACTGTCCCCAGGATCATCCTGTGGGTCATGGTGGAGATAGCCATCATAGGGTCAGACATGCAGGAGGTGATAGGGACTGCCATAGCTTTTTATTTGCTGTCTGATGGGAAGTAAGTCTAATTATACAGTTTATAAAGAATAACGGGAAGTAAGTCTAATTATACAGTTTATAGTGAATAATGGGAAGTAAGTCTAATTTTACAGTTTATAGTGAATAATGGGAAGTAACTCTAAGTTCAAGTCTAATTTTATTTGGTAAAATAAATTATACGAGCTGACCTGCGACGTAGCTTATGCCGCTATCTAGTTGTTTTATTTTCTACTTATCAATAATTCATAATTTGTTAATTCGACACTACCCCCCCCCCCCCCACACACACACCCTACCCCGCCCAGTGAAAGCAGCCGTTTACAAATGACATTGAAAATATCAAGCAGAACTTATTATCTCCCCTTAGTTTCAAATCATTTAAAAACTAAAGTATCTGTTTTTTGAACCGGCTCTACTATTTTAAACATTCTGGTTGAACCACAGCTCACCTGACAGGTGCAGATGAGGGTGGTGGGCTAAGCTGCGTGGTGTTTTCTATGGTCTCCATGAAGAGAATTATATATATATAGATAGTCAATATGGTAGATCTATATATGTATTTTTAATTAAAAAGGAAACCTCAAAATTATATTTAATAAAAGAAAACTATAAAGATTTTTATGATTATTATTTTGTAGCTTTTAATTGAAAAAATTACTTTTTTGTGTGAACAATTTAAATTTGTTGTGTATTGCTAAAACAATTTTTATGACCATTGTTGTCATTCCCAGAATCCCATTGTATGCAGGTGTTATCATCACCATAGCTGACACCTTCACATTCCTACTCCTAGATCGTTATGGCCTGCGTAAGCTGGAGTGTTTCTTCTGTTTTCTCATCACTCTTATGGCCATTATGTTTGGTTACGAGGCAAGCAGATGCATATTCTTTTATATTCTTATTAAAAAAATTTTTTAGGAAATTTAAATTAATTTAAATAAACTAATTTAATTTTTTAAAATTTATTTTTTATTGACAGTATATCACAGTAGCACCCAACCAAGGGGAAGTAATGAAAGGATTGTTTGTGCCATACTGTGAGGGTTGTGGTTCATCAGAGTTACTTCAAGCTGTTGGGATTGTTGGGGCTATCATCATGCCCCATAATATCTATTTACATTCTGCACTTGTCAAGGTAAATTAAGAAACACAATGTCTATTTATATTCTTTACTTGTTAATGTAAACTAGGACATACATTTTCTATTTACATTCTGCACTTGTCAAGGTAAATTAAGAAACACAATTTGGCAAAAATAAGTGTCGAAATATTGATTTATTTTTATGATCTTAAATGTGTCCAGTGAATTGGAGTGAATGAATTTAGATCTCTGCAGTTGATCACATTTTTTTCTAAATGTGTTCATATAGTTTTTTGTGTGTCTTCTATCCCAAAACAGTTAGCCTTAGTCTGGACTTTTGAAGTCCCCTGTAATTTTGGACATTTGCCAGGTTGGATCTGTTTAAAATGCCGGTACTGAATGAATTTCTTTGTCCGGATGAATTTCATACCTGCTAAGGTTCAAATTTTGGTTCCATTACAATTTCCGATTAAATTTCAGTAGTTCTGGTTAAATTTCCATTTCTGGCCAAAATTCCATCTCTAGATAAAGTTCATTCCCGGGTTAATTTTTGTTTGCTGTTAAAATTTTAAATGTAAGTTCCAAATAAAGTTTTTTTAACTTAATTTTTATTTTAAATTTCCATTTCTGGCTAAATTTGTTTCTGATTGAATTGCCTAATCTTTTTTATTTCCGCTTAAAGTTTCGGTTCTGATTGAGAGGCTTAGTTTTAGGTTATGTTCAAGTGGTGGTAAAAGTTATGGTTCTTGTGAAAGTTCAAGTTCAATTTAAAATACTGGTTCGAATATAAGTTCATTTTCTGGGTAAGTTCCAGTTCTGGTTGTAGTTCATGCTCTGGTTTATTTTCCATTTCCTGTTTATTTTCTGGTCTCAGATAAAGCTCAGTTTCCAGATAAATCATAGTTTCCGGTTAAATTTTGATTCCAGATCTCCTTCTCTGTTCTTAACTGTATTGTTGGAAGGGATTTCCTCCAACACAACTATGTATACGTGTCAACTTGTTATGCACCATATAGGCCATTGACTTCGATTTCAGCCTGCCGTTTTTTTTTTGGATTTCCATAGCCTTTTTTCAACACAAGAAAGCAAATTTTTTTATTTTGGAGTTTCCGCTCCTAGATGAGTTACTGTTCACAGCTAATGAGTCTCATCTGTCCAAGGGCTCGAACTCGAGAATTTTGGAGTTACCAGCCATGAGCTCTCATGCCCCTCTAAGAGGGTTACTGATTTTCTTCTATAACCTTTCTCCATCCAAGAACAAACTACAAGGCAGCAGTTGTTTGATTTTGATTTTGGAGTTGACTCCCTAGAATGGTTGCTGTCCCCAGCTATGGAGCCTCATCTGCCCAAATATTTATCTATTTAAAACTAGTCTTTAAAAAAAAATCAGGCGTTATAGTGCTCATGGGGGAGACTCAGGCCCACAACCACCTGGTTCAGGATGCCCATCTGTAGATCCCTGGTGCTTAGATAGCCGCAAGAGAACTTGGGGTGACAACCATACATACCACTAGAGCACCGCACCTCTGATGTTTAGACTTTTTTTTGCCTAATTTGTCCCTAGAGTGTGCTCTACAACCTTCCAAAGTTTACGCCTATTGGATGAATTCTGCAGTAATGAATACAGACAGACAAACATACTTTCATTTGTAATATATAGATTGAATACTCTTATAAATTTTTATGAGCAACCTACACTTGTATTAATAATTATTTAAATAATGGTGCATTATGAGTGTTAAAGATAATTTATTTTGTTTTCTACTGTTTAATGCATACTCCTATTAAAGAAAAGCATGTTTTTATTTTTTTAAATTATATATAAAAAAAAATTTTATGTTTTCGTATTAATAAACTTAATGTGTGTAAAAGCTCAACACTGCTAGTCCTGTACAGATCAATTTTAATTTTTTTTAAATTCTAGATAAATTAAAATTGAATTATGCCCTAATTCAAGTCTCATTGCATTGTTATCTGGGTATAAACTGCATTTTAAATAAATATTTTAAAAGATGAAATGAGATCTTCCATCCATGATAGACCATAAATAACCACGTATTAATACCCAACAGAAAGTAAAGCAAAAGTTCAGTTAACTTTCACTGATCTATTAATTAGATAGTTAACACATCTGATGGTTTTTTATTTGGACTTAAGTTAAATGACAATTCTATAACTTCATGAAGTATAAAAATGGACAAAAAACCATAGCAGGTTTTTAATATTAATTTTTTTTGTTAGACTATGATCAACATTTTTTTTTTACCAATTGATTAATCTGTGCTTGTTAATGACATTAGGTAACAGTTAATGGTTGTCTCCCTTGATCCCTTTAAAAAATTTTTTTTACTTTTTTGTATAGGGCTGGTAAGTAAGTCACCTACCAGTTCTACAGCTCAATAAAACTTGCATGAGCCATAGAACTGGTTGGTGACCTACTTACCAGCCCTATAGGCCTACTGATTGTATTGTAATAAAAAACATTTCTATTTCAGGATTGCACTGAAAGTGCCATCCCCATTACTGTTATAACAAAAGTTTAGGGAAGATCACTCCCGCTTTATTTTACTTTCTGAAGTATTGAATCGTGAAAAAAAATCTGTTTCAGAACCTGATAACTCCAGTACTGTTTCAGTTAGGTAGACAAAATTTCATCTATAAGTATGAGATCTTATGCTTGATTACTTTTGAGTTACCTCCAATATCCAGAAGTAGTACTTTACTATATTTCCTTTTCTAAAAGATTAACTTGAGTACTGTCTCAGCTAGGAGAAAGAAATTAAATATATATTTAGTAATTTCCAGTAAAAGGAAGTGGTATTTTTTTCTATTTCCTTGTGAACATGACCATTTGAGTACCATTTTTGCTTGGTAGACATATAAGTATCTGCATGCAAATTTCTTTCAACTTATGAGTCATTTCCGGTTACCTGAATGGGTTTTCTACTCTAACACATGCAAGAAAAAATAATTCACTTTGATTACTACAATATGTATCTCACTTGGAATAGGACGGAAGTGATGTTTATAATAATTTTATTGAGCTACAGTTTCACCACAAACTTTGCAAATGCCATGCTTTGTAAGATTTTTTTTTTAAAATTAGTTTATATCCTTTAAAATTTTGTTAAAACTATGATTTTTGTTTTAAAATTAGTTTAGATCCTTTAAAATTTTGTTCCTAGAACATATTTTTCTTACATGTCTACCATTGGAAAAATGCAATTTATCCAGACAACATGCCGTTGTTGTTGTTGTTGTTTTTTTTTCGTAAAGAGCAGCTTTGTCTCACAACAAAGTCTTTTACTATTGCTCTTCTCATATAAAAATGTTTACATGAAAACTTTCATTAGATGGGGTTGCAAACTAAGATGTTTGCTAATAAATGTGTTCGCTCAATATATTGAATTTATGCAGTTAGACTAATAACTGTGTTTGCTTCAATATATTGAATCAGTGTAGTTTGATGAGCATCTTCTGTTATATCTGTTGATCTTATGATCAAACTTTCTAAATCAGCAGTAAAAAAAAAACACTTTCAATTGGAAATCTACACTGAAGTTTTTCTCCTCCCTTCCTTTAGTCCATATCTTCCATCCTAGCTCAGAAACATTGATGGAATTGTGCTCCAGTTTTGCACATACAGGCCAATAACAATCTTTGTTTTGATCAAATGCATCAGCTTTACAAGTTTAGAATAAAATATTTAAATGTGTAGTAATGTTTTTGGTCATGCTGCTCACAAAGTTAATTAATTATCCTATAAAAAGCTACTTAAATGTTTTTTTATGAAGATAATAAAGTATCCTATGAATGTTCCCAGAAATTTTTTATTGATGTGGTTGGTGTAGATAATAAATTATCCTATACATGTTCACATAAAATTTGTATTTATGCAGCTTATAAAATTAATAAATTATCCTATGCATGTTCACATAAAATTTGTGTTGATGAAGTTAATAAATAATCCTATACATATTCCCATAAAATTTGTATTTATGCAGTTGGTGTTTTAATAAATTATCCTTTACATGTTCACATAAAATTTGTATTGATGCAGTTAAAAGTATAAATTATCCTATACATATACCCATAAAATTTGTATTGATGCGGTTTATGAAGTTAATAAATTATCTCAAACATGTTCACAAAAAATTCATATTTATGCAGTTGATGAAGTTAATAAATTATCCTCTACATGTTCACATAATTTTTTGTTCCTACAGTCTCGTGACATCAATCGCTCCAAAAGAGGGGAGATAAGGGAGGCTAACAAATATTTCTTCATAGAGGCAGCCATTGCTCTGTTTGTTTCTTTTGTCATCAATGTCTTTGTTGTGTCTGTGTTTGCTGAAGGATTTTATGGAAAAAACGCCACCCAAGTTGTGAGTATTTTCTAAATTTGGTAAAACATAAACAACTTGCAATTGTTTTGAATTATGTTAGAGTATCATTTTTAATATGCTCACACATCTTATGTATGTGCACAAGGATAAATTTTGTAAATGCTAGTTTCTTTAATTTTTTTTCAGTAATTATTCAGTGCTCATTTTCACTCATTCATATTCTTTTAGTAGTTTGTGTTTTAGGTAGAAAATTGGATATTCTGTGTTCACTGATATCTTGTGGCATTATTTAAAGTGTTAATGATGTTTTAAATTTGTATCATTGCAGTATAATAATTGCTTGCTCCACAATAATCCTCACTCTGATGTATTTAATGTAAGTATTTTTTAAGATTTCAACTTAAACTTGTCAAAATTAAATATTTAACATTTTTGTTTTTTGAATCAGCATTACTTTTTTTATTTGAACATCCTTTAAAAAATATAGTTCCATCTTTACTTTTAAAAAAAAAATGTATCATCTTTTATAAATGTACATTGTACCATCCTTTAAAAACTATACCATTCTTTGTTGTTGTTTTTTAATTGCATTATCAATTTATAACTTTTAAATCTAATTTTTTAGACCACTGAGCTTTCTGTTGATATTTACCGAGGGGTAAGTCCAACTTCAGAATTTATCTTAAGCACCATGATATAAAATTGAACAGTTTAATTAAGTGAATTATTTTTACATTTGTAAACAAAGTGTAATCTAAGAAAAGTTAACCCTTTGAACCTGCAGTACCACTTTATCTGAGTCTTAAATCTCCATGCCTGGAGATACTGATAAAACGGTATTAGACACCTCACCCAAGTTTGACAGTCTTTACTTAAATTGCAATATTAAAAAAATATGTAACTGGTATTATTAGACTGGTGGTAGGATCCTGTCATGGCTGTGCCCATGAACCAAAATTTTAGTTATGTTTATCATTTTTAATTTACGATGGAAAGACGATTTCAAAATTCTAAAACTGGCATTCTACCTATGTCTACATATACTTATGTCTAAAAGAATGGTCTACCTTCACAGTGGACCAAATTACTAAGTCAAAATACTGGTGATACTTCATATACCATGTACATATATTAATTGCAATAATAAAATTAATCACGTTGGTGTATTGGTAGTTTATATATTTTTTTATTGAGAGTACATTTAACCCAGGGGCTTAGGAGCATGGGGATTTTAGGTTCAGGAGCTAAGGGTTCAAAGGGTTAGTGTTTAATGGATTGTTAATGCTGTATGATGGATTATTCAATTTGTTTGTTGAATTGTTTAAGTTGTGTGTTGAACTATTAAAGTTTTATGCTGGAATGTAAAAGAAATATATTCTGTACTAGGGAGTTTTCCTGGGCTGTGAGTTTGGCCCAGCTGCCATGTACGTCTGGGCCATAGGAATTCTTGCCGCAGGACAAAGCTCCACCATGACAGGGACCTACACTGGTCAGTTTGTTATGGAGGTGAGTATGTGTTATATTGGCTGTTAATAGAGACGGTTTTTTCATTTTTACGCTATATTAGTTATATAGATGAAACAGTCTATAAAATACTTTAACCTTTTTGCGTTGTAATTTTTGGGCTTAGCTTAGTATTTTGATTGGTGTCATTTTTTGGATTAGGTTTGGGTTAGATCTATAAATATAGCTATCACGTATATGGTTAAGGCTAATTGGCTATTAAAAATTAGAGGATAAAGCTGTATTGGCCTGGATTAGAAAGAAAAGTTTTCTTGTTTACATTTTTTTCTTTTTAGTGCTTATTAGTCAGGCAAACTTATTTCACAGAACGTTTGTGTTTGTTAACATTCTTTATTACAGCATCAACATCTGTTCTTTAGTCCATTTGTTTACCATTACAAATACTAAATAATGAACTCATCTATTGATGTTTCCAGGGATTTTTAAACCTGACATGGAAAAGGTGGCAAAGAGTTTTATTGACCAGGACAATAGCCATCCTGCCCACCATTTTGATTGCCATATTCTCCGGCATTGACAACATGACCACAATGAATGACCTGCTCAATGTTCTCATGAGCCTGCAGTTGCCCTTTGCACTTTTACCCATCCTGACCTTCACCTCATCATCTGTACTTATGGCAGAGTTCAAAAATGGGAGGTAACATATCTAGAGTTCTCTTGCCATGTCCATTTTGTTAAAATTTGTCCAAATCACAGCTTATGGCAAAAAGGCAAAAATACTTTTTAGTTAATGAATACTAAGATATTGTCTTTTTTTTTAACTTACTAAACTTATTAATGTTGCGATGGAAATAAAACATAAAATTAAAAGGTACATATAGGTCTATTTATAATGAATATCATGATCATAGATAAAACAACTTAAATTTAAACTCTGTTGAGTAATGTCATCATATATATTTACTACTGAATTTAAACTTTTAAAAAATCATGTTTTTAGAAGAAAACTGTAAATAAAATTATTTATATATATATATTTTAAAAATCAAGGTGTATGAAGATACTGACAGGGTTGTTAGCCCTTGTTGTCATAGGGATCAACTTGTACTTTGTTGTTGTTTACATCCAAGAGCTGCCAGAGCATTGGGCCATTTACCTCAGCATCTCCATTGCTGTCTTCTTGTACCTCTTGTTTCTCTTGTATCTTGTAAGTAGAGCTCTAATTCTGTACACAATCTTTATGATTTTAGTCATTTAAGAAATTCTTTAACTTGCATTATGATTTTTAGCGCAATTTCCATACTGACAATTGCGATTATTAATTCGTTATTTCTGGCTGGATGGATGGATGGATGGATGTGTGTCCGCAGCTTTAAGTCGTATCTCCTCCTCAACGAAGCAATATCGAGGACTAGTTCCAAAAACAAATATGTTAAGCAAGTTCCGAGGATGATTGTGGGCCGAAAAAATTCCCGGAATTCCTTCCTGGATTTCCCGGAAAAGCCAAAAAAACCTCAAAAAAATGCAGTTTTTGGCCCATATCTCTGCAACCAGACCACTTAGCGACTTGAAACATTTACCAATTGATTCCTGCCATAATTAAGAACAATATTGCCGAAGAAAGTTTTCAAAAATATCCTTTCGTTCGGTCACAAAAAATGAATTATGGAAATTGCGCTTAAATTGTCACTAGACTTTTTATTAACTTGTTTTAAATAAAAAAGAATAGTTTAGGCCTATGTAGTAATTTTATATTCATTTATATATAAAGTACTAGATGTAGTTTAAATTTGGCTTGCTTAGTTATTTCTATGTTATACTTGTAACTATACAGACACTTTTTTTCTATTCACCAGACTTTGTTCTGCCTTGCTGTGATGGGTGCTACTTTTGTGATGAAAATTCCAGTAAGTTAATTTAGCTATCATAATTTTCTTTTATCCATTATCCATGCTAAAGAATACATGATACCATGAAATTATTGACACAGGCTTTTATTATTTTAAGCAACTTTAATAACTAAACCTTATCATTTATGTTCATGAAAGCTCAACACATGGTTGTGTATTGTTTGTTTTTATAAGTCTTAAGTTCTTGTACTGGTTTCTTTTAATTGTAACCTTTTGGGAACTAATTTTTAAGGGATTTCAAGACCTTATGCCGTAAGTAGATTAATGGCCACTGGTTGTTGTAACTTTGTGCCTCACTATTGTATCCACTTGTTCACTTGTTCTGTCACTAACAACTCTCTCATCACACTTAATTGACTTATAAGGTGGCATGCTGGGCTTTCCTACAGTGAACTCTCTTGTGGGGAAGGTAAAGATTTAGAGGGGAAAAAGTTACTAATTTCCTGCTATACTGAGAGGCCTAACAAGATATAATGTGAGACTACTCAGCATGCCACTCTAGAACTTTTTTAACACAAGTATAGTCTAGTTAGTGATCATTTTAAAATAAACTTTAACAATGTTTTTACTACTTCATACATTAATAACATGATACACTACACTAATAACATGATATACTGTGAGACTACTCAGCATGCTACTCTAGAACTTTTTTAACACAAGTTTAGTCTAGTTAGTGATCATTTTATAATAAACTTTAACAATGTTTTTACTACTTCATACATTAATAACATGATACACTACACTAATAACATGATACTGTGAGACTACTGAGCATGGCGCTCTAGATCTAGAACCTATTTTAACACAAGTTTAGACTAGTTAACTTTAACAGTGGTTCTTTTTTGATTAACCAAGAAATTATTATAAAAATGAATTAAAATTTAAGTTTTTTTTGTCAAACCCCCACTAATACTTTTTGTGTGGCAAATATTTTGTTCAGCAATGCATGACTAAGACAAACATCATTGACAGTAGTTAGTACTTGAACTAATAATATGTATACTTACACCTAACTGTCACAAGCATCTGCAACCACAATCAGCACCAACTATTAAGCTAACAATAACACAAAGACCAGTATTCTTGTAATTAACACATAACTGCTGCCCATAGTTATCTATGAATTAGAAATAATTTTTGCAAAGTAAAAATCAATTTCCTTTTCCTAAATATTGAACAATATAGATATTTAAAATGTGTGTATATAGTACTCTAATTAAAACTTTCATCTATTTATGGGGGGGGGGTGGAGAATCATTAGTGTTATTTGTGTTTGACACATCATTAAACCCCTTTCTTAATTAGTGTATCTGAATGAGTTTCCTATCTTAACATTATAAATGACTAACACTCCCTTAAGATTCTGACATACATAACAATCAACACAAAATCTTACTTAGATTGGTACATTTTCCCCTTATTATTTGGTTACATTGCACTTAAATTACAGCAAAAAGCTTTGTAAAAAGTTTTCCATCTGTTTTTTTATGAATATAAATTATAAAATTAACCATAGGATTAGTTTGAAAATCTATAGCATTTTTGTGGAGGATTTTTTTCTTTTCCTGGTTCTTAATATCTGATTATTTGATCAAATATTGCTTTTTTATATTTTAGTTGCTAATACTCAGGAAACATTTGTTTTTGTTGTTTATATTTAAGTTGCCAATACTCGGGAAATATTTGTTGTTTGAAGCTTATAATTTTCACCTGTTTGTTCACTAGAAAGCAGTGGGGGTTGAAGCATCAGGAAAAGCTTTTTTTGCATCTAAACAATCTTGATTTATTTAAATTTGTGAACAGTATTATGCACTAAAATAACTGCATGTGGATATATGTATGTTTGTATGTACACATAGATTTTTGTTACAGTTTTATTTATTGGGATGGTGTGAGTCATAATATTGGCACTGTTTAAACATGTTGCTTTTTTATAACAAAAAATGAAATTTAATATTAACAGTAATTTTAAATGTTATAACATATTCAATTATTCAATTATTCAACTTCTTCCTATTTGTCACATTCATTCTTAGGCATTCACTTAATCTTAAGTGGAGAAATATTCAGTATTTTAGTTAACATGTTTTGCCACTTATGCTGTCATTTAAAATCACTTATTTAATTTCTTTTCCCTAGAGAATCGGAAGACTGTTTGACACCACTACTCAGCTAGAGATCAATGCTGTGGACAATTGTGGTTATGAAGAGAAATAATTGGACCATAAAATGATGGAAACTATTTATAAATTCTTGGAGCACCGGACTTCCTTTAACTGTTGTGATTGGTGAACTGTTTAGGGAAGACAACTCTGGTGCCTAACATGATAGGTTCTGTTGTCTTCAACTTAAATTCCTGTTCTGAGAAGAATGTTCTGATAATCTCTACGCTATATATTCCATCTGTTTTTAAAGATGCTCTGCTTCCATGTTGTAAATATTGGTCTCAGAAAGCGTTGTTAGCTTTCCTTTTACCATGTTTTTGTAATTGTATGATTTTTAAAACAGTAAAACTCAGCTCGTCTTTCAGATGAAAGCTGAAAAAGATTTCATCTTTTGATTATCTTCCATTTAAAAAAAAAATCTTTCAGATCTAGTCAATAATTCTTTTGCTATATTTAAAATACAAATTTTGACTACATTTGGAGGTTAAAAAATCAATAAAACTTTGTAATGTAGATCTACTACTATAGACCATTACTGTAATTGATATTGCAATGTAATGTATAGGCCTATTGATTGTGGGTAATCTATCGTTTTAGGTACGTAAAATTGGCAGCGGCTAGTAATGTACGAAAAAGTTACCTCATTGTCAAGGCTTTAATAAAAGTATATTGTGATATATTTGTGTCAAATATTATAGATAAATGAATAATAAACCTAAATCAATGGCTAAATATATCAATATAGACCAGAAATTAACTTTAAACAGCAGTTTGCGAGCAAGATTTCCTATATAAACAGCAGCCATTTGTAAAATAGAGTTGCCTTCCCCTGAATCTCGCGCTATAAGTTTACAAAAAAGAACTTAAACAAGATGGCTGCTATAGTTAATGAGCATGGTTGCATCTGTTGGAAACATCACTAGTCTTCATTTATTACTGAAAAGTTTTTATTCAATTGTTTAAAACCAGGTACATAAATGAAACAAGGAAACATTTTTGTATTTTTCAAAACATAAATCCTCCTCAAAATGTGAAAAAATTATTAAAATTTAAGGAGTCACCTGTTTTTCACATTACTAGTCACGGGCGATTTTTACGTACCTAAAACGATAGATTACCTGATCGTGATGTATTCAATTGTATTCAAATGGTACTTCTGGTAGAAAAAATCATAAAATATAAATGTAAAGGTACTGCATATAATTGTATTATGTTTTTATTTTATTTTGAAACTTAGGATAATTGATCTTAGGATAATTGATCTTAGGATAATTGATCTTAGGATAATTGATCTTAGACTTTACCCTGAATGGACTGATTGAATCTTTTAAAAATTATTTTCTTCAAATTATTATTGAATTTATTTAAATTAATTATATTATTTAATTATTTGAATAAATTATTCAAATTAATTCACTAGGCTATTAAAATTAATTAATTTTAAAAACATATCTAATTATTTTGTTAACAGTGAAACCTTTTAAATATATTGATAGAATAAGCAATGGCTATGATATCTGCTGATGTGAAGTGACCGTTATCAGGTTATTCTGTTGTTTCATATCAACCAATTGTGAATAGCTTGGGTGGAGCAGAGGGGGTGATTAGCCCAGTACACCACATTGTTCTGTGTATAAGTGGCAATGGTCCCTATACATTTATAACAAGGGAGGAAGTAGTCCCTATACATTTGTAACTTGGGAGGAAGTATGTATAGCTGTGGAGGAATTGGTTCATATAAATTTTAAAATAAGGAGAAAAAGGTTATTATAAATTTATAATTGGTAAGGAAGTGGTTCTTATAAATTTGTAAATGGGAGGAAGTGGTCCCTATAAATAGGTATGTAGGCCTATCTGGACAGCACAAATATAAGTTTGGGGCCCCCAATTCATGTTGCTATATCTCTGTGATCAGCCGCACAAGTTGTTTCAAGTGTATATTCTCTAAGAGCTTTTACATTCTGAATAGTTTTTGTTTGGGGTGCACCAGCTACTTAAGTGACTAAATTCCACTGTTGTTTCAGACCAATATTTTCACTCTGAAGACCAATGTTCTGTTTACACGTTGTTGTTTTTTATTATTCCAACACTTACAGCATTCTTTCATAGGAAATGTTATTTTAAAGCAGAATGTATTGTTACTGCAGAATGTGTTGTTATACTTTCAGGTGGATATTTTGTTAGGTGTGAATGTTTTGTAACAGGTGAATATATTGTTGGAGGTGAACGTATTGTTACATGTGAATGTATTGTTACAGAAGGATGTATTGTTACTGAAGAATGTTTTGTTACAGATGAATGTTTTGTTACTGGTGAATGTGATGTTACTGAATAATGTATTGTTACTGAAGGATGTATTGTTACATGTGAATGTATTGTTACATGTGAATGTATTGTTACAGAAGGATGTATTGTTACTAAACAATGTATTGTTACAGGTGAATGTTTTGTTACTGGTAAATGTATTATTACCGAACAATGTATTGTTACTGAAGGATGCATTGTTACAGGTGAATGTATTGTTACAGAAGGATGTATTATGATCAGAATTAATTGATGGCTAAATATAATGACTGCTCCAATGGAACAGCTATTTAAACCAGCCTCTTTGTTGTGCAGTGTTTAGCACCATGAATAGGCTGTTCAGAGAAACTTGATTTTCTTCTTATGTTAAAGTGAGGCAGCATTCTATTTTTTGCCTTTCTAGCATTGAGATTGAAGGACCAATATCTGCTGAGCCTAATCCTAGTGTTTATCATCATAAGAGAGGTTTCAGAGATTATCTTTCTAATTTATAAATATTTTTTATTAGTTGAAGTATATTAAAATATTCTGCATTTTACTTGCAGATTGATGTAAGTAATCAAAAAAGATTGTATGCTTTGTTTCTTGTCTATATTTAGTTAACTTTCTTTTATATGATTTGATACACATGTTTTTGTGAGATGATATTGAAAACAACAACTATAATCTTCAACATATCTTTTATTCTTGTTTTGTAACATACACTGACTGATATATTTATACTTGATATTATAAAGAACTGTATTGATATATGTATACAGATTTATTAAATTGTAATACTGAGCTTGCAAAGAGCAATATTTTTATGACTGAGTTTATTTTCTATCATTTATGACAACATTTATGAATTTTGTTTGTATAGTTTGTTGTTGCCTGATGACATGTTTAAATCCCTTTTATTTTGTGTGGTTCTTCCCCCTGATATTCATGTTTATTATGCATTGTTTTTTATTTTAATAGTAGAGTATGTTGGATCTTGGTTTATGTTTTTAAAGATTTAACATAAATCAGGGGACATAATCATGTTATCAGTTGCTCCATCATTTCAAATTATTTTAAAGCATTCACCAAAACTTCACTAAAATATTAACATGTTGACTGCTAAAATGTGGATGCTACAAATGTGTGACTCTGCAGTTAATTTTTATAAACTGGAATTTAAACCAACAAAATATGTTGTGTATAACTGAGTGTGTGTTGTGCACACTTATTTTTTTTCTGGTTAGATAGCTCAGATTAATACAGATAAATATTTAAGAAGACTTACTGATATTTATTTATACATTAGATTTATTATTACATTCATCTAAGTTTTTCTTCTCCCTCTGGCTAGAATAGAAATGGTTGAAATGTTTAAATGAATGCAGCATTAAACCATTAGTCAAACAGGAAACAGACTTGAGTTGATAGGAAATAACCAGTGTCTCAATATTTTTGTATTCCCATATGCCTTAACTAGTTCCTGGTTACAAAAGTTTGAGACCTGTTTTTCTAGTTTTAGATTTTTAGTTATAGCAGTCAACTTAATGAATATGAATGTTGAATAAAAATGTTTTTAAAAATTTTACAATTTTGTTTTTATTTAGAATCAATAATAATCTCATTGTTGTTCTTTTACTTACTTCACTCTTATGAATGTTATTTTTTTTTTTAGACATAATACGTGTGAGCCTAGTGCAGTGGTAAACATTTCCCAATGAACTGTGCTTGTGGCTCATTGCTTTGACAATCCTGTCTTACCCATCTTTCTCTCTATAGATTGCCACCTTGACATATTTTTACCTCCCCTTTTTCCTCTTCTTTGCTGGGCTCCACTTAAGTGCCTGTCTAATAATTTTATTGACTGTCTTTCTATTTGTTGATGTCTTAGGTACTTGTTTCTTTTATCAAAGATGCTGATCTTAGTGTTTCTTGAAAGTCCATTTAAATGGCACAACGGCTTCAGCAAGTTAAAAGCATTTCTTGCCTAGTACCTTGGTTTGTACCGTCATCATTTGATGCTACACTTCAATGATCATTCAAATGTGTCACAACTTCCTGTTCACTTTCATGTATATATTTCATTAGTGCAGATAGTGTTCATGTCCATTGTTTGTGTTTTTATTGATGTTAATATTTAGACTTGCTTTTACTGATTCTTTAACCCAGTACCTTTGTTTTGCCCAGTATGTGTTGTTGACTATGTGAGAGAAGGCAAATACCATATACCAAAGCCAATGCGTCAAGTTGGATACCTGTTTGTTTCCTGTAGCTTGATTTATAATCCAATCAATCACTTGTAAAAAAGAAAAATCAATGATGCGAGCAAACACCCATGTCCAGGTTAGAGCGCTAGACTGCTAACCTATAAGCCTCGAGTTTGAATCTTAGCTCAAAGTAGAACGTCCCTGAGTCCACCCAGCTCTGATGGGTAGTTAACTCACGTTAGGGAATATAGGCTGAGTAAATTTTTAGTAAGCAATTATAGGTTATTTGTTTTGGTAGGGTAGAGTAAATTCGCTTCAACTAGTTAGGCTTATGTTTATTATGCCATCACTTTTTTTTATATTAAAAAATGGTATGCCTCTAGAAAATAAATCATTCTCTTATAAATTATTGGAATCACATTATTTAAACGTGATTATCTATAAGATAATTAGAAACTGAGAAGGGTGCATACATGCATAAATAATTAGAAATCGATATCCCGTCCTTTGTTATCCTGTCCTTCTGAGACCGTGTAGCTAGCAGGGAGAGTGTTGGAGATCATGGGGTCGTCCATAAATGACGTCACACTCGTAGGGGGAGGGGGGGTCCGTAATTTTGTGACGGTGTGTGATGAGGGGGAGGGGGGGGGGTTCAGGTGGTGTGACGTCACTTTTTTGTATTATAAAAAAGCAATGTTAGAAAACGAGTTTTAGCCGTTATTTCGCGTTTTAGAAAACGGTTTTAATACATTGGAATTGATCAAAATACTCTGTTGACAGAGTTCTGACAAGATTTTGGAAAAATATCGATGTTTTAAGAAAAATTCAACAGCAATTTCGAGGGGGGTTGTAGGCTGATGTGTGACGTCATTTTAGGGGGAGGTCTGGCTTTTTGTGACGACGTGTGACGGAGAGGAGGGGGGAGGTAAAAATCGTCAAAAAAAGCGTGACGTCATTTATGGATGACCCCCATGTAACTAGCAGGGAGAGTGTAAGAGACCGTGTAGCATTGTAGCAGAGGCGTAACGGGGGGGGGGGGGGACATATGTCCCCGGGCGCCGACCTTAGGGGGGCGTCAAAATGGGTTGAAAAAACAAATTGAAAGTTTGAGGGGGCGCCGGGAAGGGTCGCTACGCCTCTGGCTAGCAGGGAGAGTGTTGGAGACCATGTTGCAGGCAGGGACCCATATAGAAGACCCATGGAGCTAGCAGAGAGACCGTGTATCCATCAGGGAGATACTGTGTATCCAGGGATCTTTAGACACACTGCACGTATTTTAAATGGGTTTCCTTTGACCCATTATGTAGGCCTAAAAATTAATGTTCTAATCATACGTTGTATGATGTCCCACCAAACAACCTCCTACCACAACAACATCCTGCTTGTCTGCGATATCTTCCCTAAGCCCAAACTCAGGTCATCCATTAATTAATTAAAAATATGTCTCTCAGTAACAAGCCACTTATTAACCCCACCGTAATTACCAATTGTGGAACGGTGCTCTCGGATAGTAGAGCATACGACTGATATCCCAAAAGTCTCGAATTCGAATCTCAGATTCGTCTCAGCAAAACATCCCTGAGTCTCTCCAACTCTGATGGGTACCTGACTCAAGTTAGGGAAAATAAAAGCGGTTGGGTATAGTGCTGACCACACTATCCCTTCAAACGCTGAAGTCACTAAAACAGGTAATCTACTTCACTTGCCCTACCTACTGACCATCAGGTTCAAAAGGGTACTTTACTAGTCACCAAGGTCTCCACAACCACAAACACACTAGAGTCAAACATGGCTTCCCTACATAACTGGACACAAGCTGTTGCAGTTTCTTGAGCGGCAGCTGGTGGCAGCATTAGCAGCACCAGAATGGATGTCGGGAAAATACTCAACACAATAAATAGTCTTGGGCTGACGAAGACAGGGACCAGATTCTCATCGTCGTTTCTGTAAATGCCAATAAAGATTTGGATTAGAGGCTACAGATTTGGTGCCCACACAGAACACAATTTTGTAAGTGCATCTTTGTATATATATATATATATATATATATATATATATATATATATATATATATATATATATATATATATATATATATATATATATAATATGTATACATATATGTGAGCGGGTAAATGGATTATTTTGTGTGTTTTTGCGCACGTAAGTATTGATGTGCCCCCCCCCCTCCTTCCAAAGAAGAAACTCAGGTTATTAGCCTATTACATTGGCGTATCCTCCCCAGAGTTTCTTCCAGCCCCCCCCCCCCCCCCCCGAAGAAAGTTAATTACAGCCCCCCCCCCCCCCGCCCCCTGAAATTTTAGTCCCCCTCCCGAAAATTTAAAGTGACCCCCCCCCCCCCTTCCCCGGAGAAAAAAGATCCTCCCTCTACTCCTTCCCCAAATAGCACGGTAGGCCTGTAACTAATATATATATATATATATATATATATATATATATATATATATATATATATATATATATATATATATATATATATATATGATATGTGTAGGGTTTCTTTCTGACATTTTTTTCTCCAGTGTGGGAGATGGATGCTAGTAAAAGTAGGCCTATAGATAAAGAAATATAAATTCTAATTTAAAAAAAAAAAAGGCTAGAGTTGGTTGGGGGGGGGGGGGGGGTGTCATAAATGTCGTCACACTTTTTTGTCGATTGCCCCGCCCTTAAATTGTCTCACTGACAAAATTACTATATGTATTAAGCTGCTCTTTAAAATAATAAAGTGTGACGGTACATATCCCCCCCCCCCTTTAATGTTTAATGCTTACCAAGCACCGTCACCCCCTCCTCGACAAACACACACACACACACTCCTTCCAGTATAACGTCATATGTATGGTCGCAAAAATCCAAATCGTAGATCTACATCATCATAGTGTTAATGAAACATTCGTTTAATTTCTTGTAACTAAAGAATGCAATTTTAAAATTAAATATTTCGATTAAAAATCAGAAACTCCTGACTAAGGTGAAGGTCGCTTTCTGACGGAAGTTTACACCGTATAGTCTTAGCTTAGACACCAACTAGTCCTACCGGCAACCAAATCTATAAAACCCCCAAAAAACAAACTTAAAGGAAAATTATACAAGACAAAATAGGCTTAGCCTGGGTTAAAGGGGAAATCCCACCACTAGAATCTAAAGTATAGGCAAAGGAATGTATAGTATTTAATTACCCACCAAAAACAGGTAAACTAGCTTTGTGGTCCTGAGTTTGGTTGGAGTCAACGTTTTTTTTTTAAGCTCAAATTCACAAATCATTTTGATTCTGCTAAAACTCTAAGTAAATATTTTAGCATATAGAAAATAGATCTAAGTTTAGTCTAGAGTACTCTAGGTCTAGATTCTAGATCTATATGCTGTCTAACTAAGCCTACAATTACTTATTACTTACAGAGGACCTAATAATTACTAATTACTTAATTTAATTAGATCTAGATTAGGGATTTTGGTAAAAAAACACTAATCACCATATAAAAATAAAAATTACATATTCTTGTAGAGCTCAACTATATGAAAACAAAACAAAAAAGATTTTCTGTCTAGCTCAAATAGTTTTTTTTTAGCGAATTTTTTTGTGAGGGGTGGAATCCCCTTGCTTTTGCATTGGCCAATTGTGACAAGTCATGGTATACCTGAATAAATTGAGCATAGTTATTTTACTTGCAGTTGTATTTTGTTCATATTTGCAGAGTTTAACTAAAATGATATATAGAACTTGTAAATGCTGTTGACATGAATAAAAATAATACAGAACTTATATTTTTGTGTTGGCTTCCTCCCATAACCCCAAAAAACTGTGTGCTGCGCAAATATGAAAATGTTTCTAAAGCCATATTTTATATAAATACAGCAAATGAAAGAACTACAAAGTTAGAAATCTAAAGTAAATGACTTGAACACTGTTATGTGCATATAATTGCCTCATTATTTTGGGCAGGTGAAGTAGAGTCCATCTTTAAGCCATTTTGTTATAAAGCTGCTGCGCAAATATGAAAAGGTTTCTAAAGCAATATTTTATATAAATACAGTGAATGAAAGAACTCCATAGTCAGAAATCTAAAGTAAATTACTTGAACACTGTAATGTGTCTATAACTGCCTTGTTATTTTGGGCAGGTGAAGTAGAGTCCATATAAAAGCCATTTTGTAATAAGTGAAATGAAGTTATCAGATCAATGTTTTTATGTGTGAATTGTGTATGGATTCTGATTTTCAGCATATAACTATATCTAAGGGTAAGTAGAACTTGAATACTTAAAATTACAGTTAGCACAATGCTAGTGTTAGCAACAGACAGGTAACCTAGATCTAGATCTAGGTCTGACTCTTGTCAGTCTAGTCTGACAAAATTGGATTTTAGGAAAAACATATTCTGCAAAACTAGAACTAGAGCTGAAAAAATTAAAGATGGGTATGTAAATATATTTTGAAATAAAAAATTAGGAGATTTGTTTGCACATTCCATAAGAATGCTGTTGTTAGTTGATCAAACTTAAGGCCGGAAGATCGGGATGAAAAAATATAACAATGGTGGCAACGCGACCTACATACAGTGACCACCTCTAAACGAGTATATCTAATGTCAGAGTCAAAATATCCAAAAACAAATATCATTTCCACATATATAAGATATGTCTGCTCAGTAATCTTCACTCATCTAGAATAACCTTTTAAAAAATCGTGATTCCAACGTATTTGAAACTAGCCTTCATACAGGGGGAAGACCAAAGCAGAGACAGCGAGCAATCAGATCGCTAAGCCATCAAAACAATGGGAAAACCATTCTACTTTTCATTTAACATTAGGAAATGACCTTTTAAACTTAATTAATTACCATATATTAAAAACTTATTAGTATGCAAAACCAAATCTCGTGCGCTCGGTATCAGAAAGTAATGGGCGATTTCGGGTCATGTTTTTACCGCGATCTCGGCCGATACCGACAACCCTAATCTAGATCTAGAAAATCTAGTATAATTTGATTCACTGTGACTCAGTCTGTGACTGTTATTCACCTACTTTAATCCTAGACCTAGATCTAGCTACTTTTAAATTTTACTATAGAGTAAACTTTAGAGTTCTTTTTTTTTCTCTGCCCCTATCCCTGAGATACAGGGCTAGGATGGTTAAGGATCTACAACTACATCCATCCAGCATGTTATTTATAAAATCAACACTGAATTACTAGATCTAGTATTTAGGTCTGCCCACTGAGTACAGCGTAAACTCCTTAAAAATAAAAAAAAATAAACATGCTTTAGTCGTGTGTTTATTATTGTTTTGAAAGCAACATTTCATTCTTCTGCCTAATGATTCAGCTTCGCTTTGGAGATATCAATTGAATAGTTAGTTGATCTGGCATATATTTAAATATTTTTAATAATATAAATATGTGTGTGTTATTACCACTAGATGTATGTTTTAATTTTTTTTCAAAGTTTGCTTTTCTTTCCAATCAGTAACACCAGACAGTTTAGAATGGCCCTTCAGAGATTCAAGTTTAAATGGACTGAGCATTTCAACTCTATTTGGGTGGAAGAAGACTGTGAAAGCCTTACTTTGAAAGATGATTTGGAAGGGCTCTATCAACGCCTTGCCACCAACAAAGAGATTGTATGCATCCCCCCGCAGGCGATTTTTCTCAAAGGACCAACACTTCCTGACTTTAGTTTCAGCTCAGAATCCTACAGTATTGATGAGCAAGAACATTTACTAGATTCACTGTTATCAAATCAACTGTTTTTGGCAGAGGTTGTCAGTAGTAATACACCATTTGCACAGGTAATTTAAATTTAGTAATTCAAACAACTTGTAAATGCATTTGAAAAAACTCAAGTAAGTTTAAGTTTTTTGAGTAAACAATGATTGATCCCAACATTAAGTGAATGAATTCTATTTTAACAACTGAATGAATTCTATTTTGACAGGTTCTTATGAAACGGGTTCTTGTACTTCAACGTATGTACTATGCGGTTTCACAAAAATATCATGCCATTTTAGAGAGCTCAACCATCCCTATTGTAGCTGCATTAGAAAACAAAAAAACACAGGGCCCTGAACATGCAGAAGCATCTACACCATTGGGCAGTGATGCTCTTATCAAAATTGGGGTTAAGACTGGTCTCAGTATGCTGTTCTCATTGTTCCGTCAAAACTGGGCTCTGGCTACTAGCACTGGACAAGTCTCCTCCTGCAATGATGTCCTCATAACAGCTTTAGATGTTGTTTCTTCTTTACCACCTTTGTCGCTAGCTAATGAAAATAAACTTACCTCATTAGGTGAGTGCTCAATCTTTTTTTGTTATTAAAAATAATTTAGTGCATTAATTGTTAATTATATATACAATTAAATCTTAAAGTGAAACGTTAATATCAAATTCAAATGAGACAAAACCTCATGATAAAGACTTTTTAATGTCAATATATCAATGACACTTCAGATTTTGATGTATTTTAGACATTATTGTTCTTTTTAAAAGCACTTTTACATAAGCTGAAATAAAAATTTTAGATTAAATCTCCTGCCAGACCCATTTAAGAACCCATTTGAAACCAAAAGTAAAATCTGTGGATTTATTGTGTATTTTAAAAAATATTTTGTTAGATATCTTAAAATACAGATATGAAAACTTGTGATATTCCAGGTACAGAGTCTCTCAATTCTGTGACCAAATTCCTGCGCCTAGCAGCCACCCCACAGTCAGGAGCAGACCTACAGGGTCAGCAGCTTGCCTCTCAACTGATGCTGGCCATTGCCATGCAGCGTGGGCTACTCCACCATCTGCTGGACTGGGTGGACTTGGCTCTGCAAGTTTCTGCCACTGCTCAGTGTGAGGCTAAGAAAGGTGTGGAGAATAAGTATGGCCGTACCAACAATACATTTTTCAAAGCTGTTTTAGCACAGATGATTGAAAAACCAACAGGCAGTGTAAGTTGTTATTGTGACATTAATAATTTAAAAAAAAAACTTTTGTATTTATTTTTACACATTTTTATATGTGGTGCTTTGATGTTGTTTATGGCCTCTGATTTTATTCAACAAAGCTGAAATTTTAAAATAAGTTCTTAAAAAATTATTCATTTCCTGATGAAGTTACTTTATCACATTATTTTATGAGAGTAAATGGGGGTAAAAAGTAAAGTTCTCTTTTTTAACCTGAATGTTTATGGGGTAAGTGAAGTAGAGTTCACCTGTTTCTGTGGCCTTGGTATATGAAGAGATAGTGTATTAGCACTATGCCCAGTTGCCTTTACTTTCCCTCACATGGAGGTAGCATGTAGCAATTCTTCTGGTAATTTGATAAAGTAGAGTTAAAGATGAGCCTGGTTGAGGACACCACTAGACATAGTGACTTGCCACACTGGTGCAAGGATAACTAAATAGTTGTTAGATTTACTTTCTGTTCTGGTCTTGTCTTGCTAGAGAGCCTGAGATCAATCCCAAGAAAGGTCAAAGGTGAATTAATGGCTCCATAGTCAGATAGATGATTGGATGTTTGCACCTTGGAAATCAAAATGCAAAGCCTGGGCCTTAAGTTGAGAAAAGCCAGATGTTGCCCATGTATCAGGCCCCCTCTCTCCACACAGCTGACCAACAATTAAAATGAATTTGTTTGTCTTTAGCTTAATATGCCTATAGTTTATATATTAAAAAAGAAGTTAATATCATGATGAAGGAATTTTTGTTTTTCTTCTAGCAGAGCAACTCTAGTCGAGTGGCTAGAACACCTCTATCTGTTGATCAGGAAGGAATGATCCCCATGTTTGAAGCTGCTATGTTTCTTCTGGAGGAGGTACTATTGTTAGAATATGCAAACAAACAAAATCATTAAGCTGTAGTAACCGAAAGAGATTAATTCTGTGTTACTAAACTGAAAACATGAATAGCATAATAAAATATGAGAAATATTTTTACCAAATAGATTTAAAAGAAAGAAAAAAATAATTTTTAGGTGTGTGTCACATTTAAGTTTTTGTCTATGATAAAATGTTAGTCAACAATAAAAAAATTTGAGCATCTTGTTTTCAAATATTAATACTATTAGTAATATTCTTAACAAAATATGCATTTATCTCTTATAGTGATCACTTCCTTCATTGGTGTAATATTACAGTTAAAAATAATTTCTTTTTGTCTTTATTTTTCCTTATTAACTATGGCTTTTGTAACCACTTTACATGATTTTTTAAGTTTCATCTCTTTTATCTTTATCCACACTACCTATATAAATAGTTGAAGATGGTGGCTGAAGACTATTTTTGTAAACTACTTCCAGCTCCATTGTGCTGCTGATGAGTACACCAACACAGGGAGTGGCCCTATTGAGTACAAGCCTTCAGCTCAGGCATCCAATGGTAACAAAGCAAGCCAGAGCTCACCTGCAAGTGTCTATGTGTGGGGGAGTAACAGCAGTCATCAGCTGGCTGAGGGCAGCCAAGAGAAGATTTTGACCCCAAAGATCACCACCGTGTTTGCTGACTGTCAGCAGGTCAGTGGGACTGTCAGACATGGTGTTGTGTGGCTGTCGTCTCATTTTTTGTGAGACTGTCAGTAGGGTCTTGTGGGACTGTCAATATGGTGTTGTGTGGCTGTCAGTATAATCTTGTGTGTCAATATGGTGTTGTGTTGTGTGTCAGTATGTTACTGTGTGATTGTAAGTATAGTCTTGTGTAACTGTCAATATGGTGTTGTGTGGCTATCAATATAATCTTGTGTGACTGTCAATATGTTGCTGTGTTGTGTGTCAATATGTTGCTGTGTGATTGTAAGTATAGTCTTGTGTGACTGTCAATATGGTGTTGTGTGACTGTAAGTATAGTCTTGTGTGACTGTCAATATGGTCTTGTGTAACTATCAATATGTTGCTGTGTGATTGTAAAAACATGCCAGCCCAGCACCACCTTGGTATGTAATGCTATCAGTTTACATTCCTCCTAATACTATGTTGTTATATCTTATGCCATTTAAATCCTCTAAGTACTGTTATAATATTGTGTATTATATTTCTCCAAGTACTAGTTAGTTATTGCTTGTCCCATTTGCATCCTCTAAGTACTGTTATATTATTGTGTATTACATTTCTCTACTAGTTTGTTATTGCTTATGCCATTTATGTTCCTCTTAGTATTGTTTATCACATTTATCTGAGTACTATGCCGTATTGTACTAAACTATTACTGTCCTTCATATTCCTTTAAGTACTGCTGCATCCTACCTGTGTCTCTCTTCCCCAGGTAGAGGCTGGTCAATTCTGCTCATTCCTGCTGCACCCAGATGGAAGTGTGAGTGCTTGTGGGAAGGGCAGCTATGGCCGCCTTGGTCTAGGAGACTCCAACAATCAGACCATGCCCAGAAAGTTAACATTTGACCCACCTGCAGTCATTAAAAAAATTTCATCTTCTAAAGGCTCAGATGGACATACACTAGCTCTCACAACAGATGGTGAACTCTTCAGCTGGGGAGATGGTAAGTATCAACAAGGGAAATTTAGTCAAAGAAAATTAAGTATAATGGGAGACAGTTCTTTATCATTACAGATTGAAACTAAGTAGAAAATGGTTCCATAAAAACCTTCACATATGGTATTTAACCATACATTTTCTGAAAGTAGTTTTTATCTTTGTCACTGTTAAACTCACAACTGTTGGTGTTCAGGTGACTATGGAAAATTAGGACTTGGTGGAAATCATACACAGAAAAGTCCTAAACTGATCCAGGGTCCCTTATGTCAAAAGGTCAGTGTTACTTTATTGTTTTAAACTTCTTGTAGTACCATATATTGCCTGATTTATTTAGTTGTACTTGCCCTTATTTTATGGTAAGGCTGCAAACTCCATAATTTTTAAAAATGATTATAAGGCTTACCTCACACCTTTCTCAGCATGTATTATAAAAAAATGTTAATGTGTGTGTTTTGTGTGAACTGTTGCAGGTAGTGAAGTGTATGTCAGCAGGTTACAGACACAGTGCAGCAGTAACTGTTGATGGTCAGCTTTACACATGGGGTGAAGGAGACTATGGTCGTTTAGGTGAGCTTGACCAATAGGCTGTCCAACAAAACAGATTGTCCAGATCTCCCTGTTAAACAGTCCTTATCACCTTGATAGACTGTGCATATTACCCTAATATACTTGACTGTCCACATCACCCTGATAAACTGTCTTTATCACACTGATACTGTTTATCACATTGAAAGACTGTCCTTAAGACTCTCATAGACTATCCATATCACCCTGATAGACTATCCTTAAGACTCCCATAGACTATCCATATCACCCTGATAGACTATCCTTAAGACTCCCATAGACTATCCATATCACCCTGATAGACTATCCTTAAGACTCCCATAGACTATCCATATCACCCTGATAGACTATCCTTAAGACTCCCATAGACTATCCATATCACCCTGATAGACTATCCTTAAGACTCCCATAGACTATCCATATCACCCTGATAGACTATCCTTAAGACTCCCATAGACTATCCATATCACCCTGATAGACTATCCTTAAGACTCCCATAGACTATCCATATCACCCTGATAGACTATCCTTAAGACTCCCATAGACTATCCATATCACCCTGATAGACTATCCTTAAGACTCCCATAGACTATCCATATCACCCTGATAGACTATCCTTAAGACTCCCATAGACTATCCATATCACCCTGATAGACTATCCTTAAGACTCCCATAGACTATCCATATCACCCTGATAGACTATCCTTAAGACTCCCATAGACTATCCATATCACCCTGATAGACTATCCTTAAGACTCCCATAGACTATCCATATCACCCTGATAGACTATCCTTAAGACTCCCATAGACTATCCATATCACCCTGATAGACTATCCTTAAGACTCCCATAGACTATCCATATCACTTTGATAGACTATCCTTAAGACTCCCATAGACTATCCATATCACCCTGATAGACTATCCTTAAGACTCCCATAGACTATCCATATCACCCTGATAGACTATCCTTAAGACTCCCATAGACTATCCATATCACCCTGATAGACTATCCTTAAGACTCCCATAGACTATCCATATCACCCTGATAGACTATCCTTAAGACTCCCATAGACTATCCATATCACCCTGATAGACTATCCTTAAGACTCCCATAGACTATCCATATCACCCTGATAGACTATCCTTAAGACTCCCATAGACTATCCATATCACCCTGATAGACTATCCTTAAGACTCCCATAGACTATCCATATCACCCTGATAGACTATCCTTAAGACTCCCATAGACTATCCATATCACCCTGATAGACTATCCTTAAGACTCCCATAGACTATCCATATCACCCTGATAGACTATCCTTAAGACTCCCATAGACTATCCATATCACCCTGATAGACTATCCTTAAGACTCCCATAGACTATCCATATCACCCTGATAGACTATCCTTAAGACTCCCATAGACTATCCATATCACTTTGATAGACTATCCTTAAGACTCCCATAGACTATCCATATCACCCTGATAGACAATCCTTAAGACTCCCATAGACTATCCATATCACCCTGATAGACTATCCTTAAGACTCCCATAGACTATCCATATCACCCTGATAGACTATCCTTAAGACTCCCATAGACTATCCATATCACCCTGATAGACTATCCTTAAGACTCCCATAGACTATCCATATCACCCTGATAGACTATCCTTAAGACTCCCATAGACTATCCATATCACTTTGATAGACTATCCTTAAGACTCCCATAGACTATCCATATCACCCTGATAGACTATCCTTAAGACTCCCATAGACTATCCATATCACCCTGATAGACTATCCTTAAGACTCCCATAGACTATCCATATCACTTTGATAGACTATCCTTAAGACTCCCATAGACTATCCATATCACCCTGATAGACTATCCTTAAGACTCCCATAGACTATCCATATCACTTTGATAGACTGTCCTTAAGACCCTGATAGACTGTCCAGATCACTTGATAGACTGTCCATATCACCCTGAGACCACCAAGATAAATTACTCTCCTACCTCCTTCAGGCCATGGAGACAAGACGTCAAGAAATGTTCCAAAGCAAGTGAAGGACATCGGACCAGTTGGGCAAGTCGCTTGTGGCAGTTCCCACACACTAGCAGTGTCCCAAGATGGCAAAACTGTTTGGTCTTTTGGCGGTGGAGACAATGGTAGGTCTTACACTCATTTAAATGTTAATAACTTGTCTGTGTAGCCTACGCTCATTCAGAATTTGTGTTGTTTGCACCATTAAAGTAATGTTTCTATTTAAATCAGTTACCCAACCGAGTTTAAGAAAATTTTAACTGGTTTCCAGTTTAAGCTGGCAATTTTCAAGATCACATAAATTATAAATTTTTATTAACACATTGTATGAAGAAAGCTGCCTCAAATTTAGTTCTAAAAGGTGTGTAAGTAACATAATTTTAATTAATGAATTTAGAAATACATACCAATGACAGTATTTAAACAAATAACATAATCTTCTGTTATTTCTGTTTTTGTGTTTGCAGGTAAGCTAGGCCACGGAGACATGAATAGACAAACAAAACCAGCTGTGATTGAGGCTTTCTGTGGGATGTATATTCGCAAAGTAGCATGTAGTAGTCAGGCATCGCTTGCTCTCACATCCACTGGACAGGTGTGTTGTGTTTTATAAAAAATTGGTTTGGATATGTTTCATATTATTAAAGAAAAGTTGGTTTAGAAGTTTTATATTTCAATACAAAAGTTGGTTTGGATGTTTTTATATTTGATATAAAAATTGATTTTGGATGTTTTATATTTTAATAGAAAAATTGGTACGAGTATATTTTTACAAATGTTAGTTAGGATGTTTCACATATCTTTTTAGAAGTTTTGACAGAGCTTGTTAATAAGTATAATTTAAAACATGTTTTTGTTTTGAAAAATATTTGTTTTTAAAATCTTGCAGGTTTATGCATGGGGTAGTGGCTCATGCCTAGGATTTGGACTAGCAGATTTCACTGCCATGTCCCCAAAATTGGTTGAAGATCTGCAAGGCACAAGAATCATGGATATAACATGTGGAGACAGTCATTGCTTAGCTCTTTCTCATGGTACTTGTTGCAACCTAATCAACTGTCAGCTACTTTACTTTATTTTTATTTTTTTTATTTGTCTTTGCAAAGTAAAAAAAAAAATCTTGTCTTTATAAAAATCAATCCAATGTGTATTTGTGTACCAGATAATGAAGTATTTGCATGGGGCAACAATGCTATGGGGCAATGTGGACAAGGGCACGCACAAAGTCCTGTGACAAGACCACGTAAAGTTATTGGCCTCGAGGGCGCTCACATTCAGCAGATTTCAGCTGGCACATCTCATAGTGTTGCTACAACCGCACTTCCATATGACCGGTAATATGTTTATACGCACTTTTTAGTTCTTATGTATCAGGTATTTCTAGAAAAGGCCACACTTCCATATGACCGGTAATACGTTTGAACCCACTGTTTAGTTCTTATGTATCAGGTAGTTCTAGAAAAGCCACACTTCCATATGACCGGTAATATGTTTATACGCACTGTTTAATTCTTATGTATCAGGTAGTTCTAGAAAAGGCCACACTTCCATATGACCGGTAATATGTTTGAACCCACTGTTTAGTTCTTATGTATCTGGTTATTCTAGAAAAGGCCATGCTAACAAAGGGCTATCGAAAAATCTCGACATTATTTGGAAAGTTGGTCAACCCCAAAGCTCCAGTATTTGATTGTTTAGAAAATACTTAAGACACAAAATTTACATCTAAAATAATAGAGTTTAGTTATTCAAAATGTATATTACACTTTATTTTATTCAGCGGTAAAAAAAAGTTAGACTTAAGTACACAATTTAGCATTCATACAGCAGGAAGATTCAAACCAGGGTGGAGTTGTGACTTAAATGCTTTTAGTAAAATGACAATCTTTTGAAAATACAGCAGGACTTGACGTTAAAGTTGTTGAATTATTCATTAGTTTAATTGTTAAATACAATACCAGATTCATATGTAATTAGTAGAATTAACTGAAGTTCACTTGAGGTGTTTGTTATTGTATTTTACCATCGCTATCCCCAGATATTATGACTTAAAATAAATAGTTTAAAAATACCAGTGTCTTCCTTCAACTGAGTGTTGAATTATTATTTTTTCAGCCAAGTGATTGCCTGGCACAGGCCTTTTTGTGTGGACCTCCAGGAAGCAACCTTCACTGTTCTCAGCACTTTCTTGGAGCACTACTGTGATGGATTTGATAACCCTGAGGCACCCCCACCATTTGCTAACAAACAGTGTGTACTCCTAATTTATTCAGTAGCTATGTTCCTTGATTGAGGGAAAAATTTAGCTACGTGCAGTGTTTCTCTCAGAAAGTTTTCATGTGGGGGGGGGGGGGGGGGGGGAATGGATGACACTGTTTAAAATACATCTTTTCTTTATAAATTGTATATTTTTCTATTTTGACTCGGGGTGGTAGACTTTGGGTTGAAAGAAATTCAAACATTGTCCAGTTCAGCAAATAATTTTTACTTTGATTGCCAACATTTTAGTAAGATTCAACTCACACTTACATATATAATAAACTTGAAAATATAGTAATGCTATGTTGTTGATGTCTCCATGTTGTTGCTTCCCCAGACAACATCAGCAGTTTGTTTTACTCTGCCTGAAGCTGCTTTCTTCTCACCTGTCCCTGGCTCTCACCTGTGGTCTGGGTAGTGAAGTCTTAGGCAATCAGACGAGACCACTGCGGGTTCTGCTCTTCAGGCTAGTGGACACCAACACACCAGAGCTCATTCAGAAGGTTAGGGTTAGGTCTTGTCATTGTCAGGGTTATGTTTTATCATTGTCAGGGTTACATGTATGGTGGACACCAATACACCAGAGCTCATTCAGAAGGTTAGGGTTAGGTCTTGTCATTGTCAGGGTTATGTTTTATCATTGTCAGGGTTACATGTATGGTGGACACCAATACACCAGAGCTCATTCAGAAGGTTAGGGTTAGGTCTTGTCATTGTCAGGGTTATGTTTTATCATTGTCAGGGTTACATGTATGGTGGACACCAATACACCAGAGCTCATTCAGAAGGTTAGGGTTAGGTCTTGTCATTGTCAGGGTTATGTTTTATCATTGTCAGGGTTACATGTATGGTGGACACCAATACACCAGAGCTCATTCAGAAGGTTAGGGTTAGGTCTTGTCATTGTCAGGGTTATGTTTTATCATTGTCAGTGTTACATGTATGGTGGACACCAACACACCAGAGCTCATTCAGAAGGTTAGGGTTAGGTCTTGTCATTGTCAGGGTTATGTTTTATCATCGTCAGTGTTACATGTATGGTGGACACCAACACACCCGAGCTCATTCAGAAGGTTAGGGTTAGGTCTTGTCATTGTCAGGGTTATGTTTTGTCATTGTCAGGGTTAAGTGTTGTATACACCAACACACCAGAGCTCATTCAGAAGGTTAGGGTTAGGTCTTGTCATTGTCAGGGTTATGTTTTGTCATTGTCAGGGTTAAGTGTTGTATACACCAACACACCAGAGCTCATTCAGAAGGTTAGGGTTAGGTCTTGTCATTGTCAGTGTTATGTTTTATCATTGTCAGGGTTACATGTATGGTGGACACCAACACACCAGAGCTCATTCAGAAGGTTAGGGTTAGGTCTTGTCATTGTCAGGGTTATGTCTTATCATTGTCAGGGTTAAGTGTTGTATATGCAAACACACAAGAGTTTATTCATAAGGTTAGATTTGGGTCTGATCATTGTCAGGTTTAAGTTTTGCCAATGTCAGGGTTATGTCAGGGTTAAGTTTGTTGTATACACCAACACACCAGAGCCCTTTCAGAAGGTTATTGTTAAGTGTTTATTAAGTGTTATCTTTGTTTGGGTTAATTGTTGTTATTTTTGGGTTACATGTATATTGATATTATTATTTTACTCCATAAACTTGCAGTAGCTTTAGAATATTTTGATATAACACTTCTGAATTTCAAATTTTTTTTTTCTTATACATCTATGTTTATGTCTATACATTCTGACTGCAAAGAATTCTTATAACAAATCTGTAATGCACTATTTGATAGACTGTTACAGACACTCTGTCCATCGGTGCTTCCTTGCTACTACCACCACTACGTGAGAGGATGGAGCTCCTGCACTCCCTACTACCCCAGGGTCCAGATAGCTGGGAATCTCTGACCAAAGGACAGGTCTGTCATAGTTGCTGTTTGATGTCTTCATTATTGGTCTTTAGTTACATAGAAATTGATTACAATAATGTTAATGTTCTTAGGAAACTAAGTGAAAATTTGTAAGGTAGAAAAACAAAATAAAATTAATTGAGATTAATAGTAACAATTTTTTTTCAAATGTAAGTTAAATTTTTTACATTCAAGCAATGTTGCTGGTTTTAAAATTTTAAACTTCGTGTTATTTTTCAAATCTACAATAATGAGAACCAAGTAACCATCTTTCTGTTACCCAGAGGATGCAGTTGAGTATAATTTTGACCAGCTTACAAGACAACCAACACATAGCAGCACTGCTGGGGCTATCCAACCAGAGGATTGAGAACTCTCTTGTCTTTTCTGACACTGGCGCCTCTGAGCTGCAGCTGGCGGAACTTTTAATGAAAACTATACTGAGGAATCTTGCTGCACACACGGTAGGTGCTGGGTGTTTGTTTGAAGGGTGGCGGAACTTTTAATGAAAACTATACTGAGGAATCTTGCTGCGCACACGGTAGGTGCTGGGTGTTTGTTTGAAGGGTGGCTGAACTTTTAATGAAAACTATACTGAGGAATCTTGCTGCACACATGGTAGGTGCTGGGTGTTTGTTTGAAGGGTGGCTGAACTTTTAATGAAAACTATACTGAGGAATCTTGCTGCGCACACGGTAGGTGCTGGGTGTTTGTTTGAAGGGTGGCTGAACTTTTAATGAAAACTATACTGAGGAATCTTGCTGCGCACACGGTAGGTGCTGGGTGTTTGTTTGAAGGGTGGCTGAACTTTTAATGAAAACTATACTGAGGAATCTTGCTGCGCACACGGTAGGTGCTGGGTGTTTGTTTGAAGGGTGGCTGAACTTTTAATGAAAACTATACTGAGGAATCTTGCTGCACACACGGTAGGTGCTGGGTGTTTGTTTGAAGGGTGGCTGAACTTTTAATGAAAACTATACTGAGGAATCTTGCTGCACACACGGTAGGTGCTGGGTGTTTGTTTGAAGGGTGGCTGAACTTTTAATGAAAACTATACTGAGGAATCTTGCTGCGCACACGGTAGGTGCTGGGTGTTTGTTTGAAGGGTGGCTGAACTTTTAATGAAAACTATACTGAGGAATCTTGCTGCACACACGGTAGGTGCTGGGTTTGTTTGAAGGGTGGCTGAACTTTTAATGAAAACTATACTGAGGAATCTTGCTGCGCACACGGTAGGTGCTGGGTGTTTGTTTGAAGGGTGGCTGAACTTTTAATGAAAACTATACTGAGGAATCTCGCTGCGCACACGGTAGGTGCTGGGTGTTTGTTTGAAGGGTGGCTGAACTTTTAATGAAAACTATACTGAGGAATCTTGCTGCACACACGGTAGGTGCTGGGTGTTTGTTTGAAGGGTGGCTGAACTTTTAATGAAAACTATACTGAGGAATCTTGCTGCACACACGGTAGGTGCTGGGTGTTTGTTTGAAGGGTGGCTGAACTTTTAATGAAAACTATACTGAGGAATCTTGCTGCGCACACGGTAGGTGCTGGGTGTTTGTTTGAAGGGTGGCTGAACTTTTAATGAAAACTATACTGAGGAATCTTGCTGCGCACACGGTAGGTGCTGGGTGTTTGTTTGAAGGGTGGCTGAACTTTTAATGAAAACTATACTGAGGAATCTTGCTGCGCACACGGTAGGTGCTGGGTGTTTGTTTGAAGGGTGGCTGAACTTTTAATGAAAACTATACTGAGGAATCTTGCTGCGCACACGGTAGGTGCTGGGTGTTTGTTTGAAGGGTGGCTGAACTTTTAATGAAAACTATACTGAGGAATCTCGCTGCGCACACGGTAGGTGCTGGGTGTTTGTTTGAAGGGTGGCTGAACTTTTAATGAAAACTATACTGAGGAATCTTGCTGCACACACGGTAGGTGCTGGGTGTTTGTTTGAAGGGTGGCTGAACTTTTAATGAAAACTATACTGAGGAATCTTGCTGCACACACGGTAGGTGCTGGGTGTTTGTTTGAAGGGTGGCGGAACTTTTAATGAAAACTATACTGAGGAATCTTGCTGCACACACGGTAGGTGCTGGGTGTTTGTTTGAAGGGTGGCTGAACTTTTAATGAAAACTATACTGAGGAATCTTGCTGCACACACGGTAGGTGCTGGGTGTTTGTTTGAAGGGTGGCTGAACTTTTAATGAAAACTATACTGAGGAATCTTGCTGCGCACACGGTAGGTGCTGGGTGTTTGTTTGAAGGGTGGCTGAACTTTTAATGAAAACTATACTGAGGAATCTTGCTGCGCACACAGTAGGTGCTGGGTGTTTGTTTGAAGGGTGGGCTTCAGCTGTGTTGGTCTAGTTCATTGGCTGTACACCTGTGGGATATAAACCTGTAGAGTTTACGCCTGTAAGTTGTACATCTGTAGGCTGTACACCTGTAGGCCGTATATCTGTAGACGGTAAACCTGTGAAATGTAGACCTTTAGTCTCTCACATATAAAGTATACATGATAGTTTCACATGTGTAATATATACATTTGTAATTTTTTCATTTGTCATTATGCACATATTTTAATCTCTTTTAGCAAACTGTTCTTCATGTATAAAAATAGGAATCCTTATAGTTGATAAGTTTTGTAAAATCCTAATTCTTGTGTGTTGACTTCCAGGAGAGGCTGCTGAATGAACTCAGTACTGACAACACTCTACATTCTGATGCCTGTGTTGAGTCTGTAGTTGATAAGTTTTGTAAAATCCTAATTCTTGTGTCTTGACTTCCAGGAGAGGCTGCTGAATGAACTCAGTACTGACAACACTCTACATTCTGATGCCTGTGTTGAGTCTGTAGTTGATAAGTTTTGTAACATCCTGATTCTTGTGTGTTGACTTCCAGGAGAGGCTGCTGAATGAACTCAGTACTGACAACACTCTACATTCTGATGCCTGTGTTGAGTCTGTAGTTGATAAGTTTTGTAACATCCTGATTCTTGTGTGTTGACTTCCAGGAGAGGCTGCTGAATGAACTCAGTACTGACAACACTCTACATTCTGATGCCTGTGTTGAGTCTGTAGTTGATAAGTTTTGTAACATCCTGATTCTTGTGTGTTGACTTCCAGGAGAGGCTGCTGAATGAACTCAGTACTGACAACACTCTACATTCTGATGCCTGTGTTGAGTCTGTAGTTGATAAGTTTTGTAACATCCTGATTCTTGTGTGTTGACTTCCAGGAGAGGCTGCTGAATGAACTCAGTACTGACAACACTCTACATTCTGATGGCTGTGTTGAGTCCTCCCCACCTGCCAATCTCCACCACCTGTTGTCTTCACTTCAAAAACATTTGCTGGCTTACTGCTATAATAAATCTTTAGCTGATAAAAAGGTCAGTTTTTCAAAGCTTCACTATTGCTGGTTTTGTCATTAGTATATTGCTCTAGGAGAAAGTTATTTTAAAACCTTCCATAACCCATTTTAAGCCAACACTCTTAAATATGTTTTCTAAAATAAAAAAATTTACTGGCTTACTTCCTTTATTAAAATATCAGCCAAAATAATAGTGATAAAAATGGGGGAAAAAATGCCTTAACTTGTAATTGTTGCTGCATAGCTCATTTTATTTCACACATTTTTCTTTTAGTTGTCAAACATCTGTTCTAATAATCTTTTTTTTTTAAATGAGCTTATCAATCTTTTTAAAAAAAATCTTTTATTAACATGAGAAGTAACAACCTACCATCTGTTTCCTTAGCTGCCTCTTGTATTCAAACATCTCCACCAACATCTTCTGCTTCTAATCCCTGTATGTGGTGACATCATCACACACACTGTTACTGTGGTCACCAAGTTAAATGGATCGGAGGATGTCATTGAACAAGTTGAAGGTAATAAAGTTTTTTTTTTGTTTCCTTAAATTTGTTCATTTTATGTTTATACATTGAATGGCTATATGTTGTGTAACTTGGCCTAACATTTATTCATTTTAAGATTTATTTTTTGTTAATCAAATCATACAAACTACACGTTTTTATTTTATTATTTACCTAATCATATTGTTCCTTCTGGCATTTAAATTTAAAATTGTCTTCTGTCTATCATTTACTACATGTTCAATATATTTGTTTCTTTAATAATTCGTTCAAGTTTTTTTCTTGCACCTCCCATTTAAACACTAGAACTATGTGTTTGTCAAGATGAAACTATTTTTTTAAAAAGCCATTAAAAACTTTTATATAGACTTTACTATGAAAAACCAATAGTTTTAGAGCTAGTCTTTTTGTTCTATAAGGATTTCTTCATAATAAATGAGAAGATTGTAGAAGATCCACAACATCATTTTTTTTTCAACATAATTTTGCATTAATTACCAATAAGTTATTTCAGCCTGTTTTTTTTTTTATAACCTTTATTCACCCTAAAAAAAAGTATACGGCAGCTATTATTTTATTTCAAAGTTTTCTCTCCTAGATGGGTCGCTGTCCCCATCTTCATCTTTTGAACTCAGAACTTTAAACTACATTTCCTATTCTCCCCCCACCCCCCCCCCCCCCAGATGTTGTCCTTCAGTCTCCCACTGGTAAAATGTTTACCCACCTAATGTTTTCCATTTCCTCCACAGATGTTGTCCTTCAGTCCCCTTCTGGTAAAATGTTTACCCACCTAATGTTTTCCATTTCCTCCACAGATGTCCTTCAGTCCCCTTCTGGTAAAATGTTTACCCATCTGATGTTTCCCATTTTCTCCTCAGATGTTGTCCTTCAGTCCCCTGCAGGTAAAATGTTGACCCATGTGATGAATGCCATGCTGGTGCTCCCACTGCCCCTTGTGATGCCTGTTCTTCATCAGATTCTAACCTTACTGCCTCAGATGGACAGGTTGTGTAAGCTCTTACCCGGAGCTGCACTCCTTGAGGAGTCAGAGCTAGAGTTTAAGAGAGGTATGTAAAGAATCAGTAGTAGAGTTGGTGACAAGAGCTAGTTTCAGTAAAGATGCCAAGACATATTTTAAAAATAGTAGACCGCCAAGCCAAAAGCAGCATTATTTTGTACTGTAACTGCCCTACTAGAATGTGATGATGTAATGGACCTCTGGGGAAACAGTCTCGAAACAGTAAATTAAATATATTAAAAATCAGTGCAGAGTTGTTCAAATAAATGTGGTTATAAAATAGAATGTGGTCTTACCCATGTCAACAATAATAATGGAAGGCCTTTTGTCAAACTCATTGTCCATTTATCAAATTATTCTAGTGAGTTAATAGCATTAATAGTTCTTTTTCTTTCTTTTTCTCTAGAAGAGGGTGAAGCTCAGAACCATCAGAAGCCCTGGTCATGGCTGATTGACCTAGAGAGGACCTGTGGTCTGGTGGTGGGCAGCTGCATAGGTGGGATGCTCCACGGGCCACCTCAAGCACAGTGTGAAGTTGAGTGCGACCAATGGCTCAACTCCTTGCTCTTTAGCAATGGTCTACAATCTGCCACACAACTGAGTCAGTCCATGCTGCTACTTGTACATTCTCAAAATGTGTTTGCTATGGTTGATAGTTAGAGTAACTTGTTAAGGATTAATGTATGGTAGTTAAAATATAATAAGCAAAACTTTGTGTACAGAATTTCAGTAAAATTCAGTTTAAGTATTTAATTACATTTTGAGAAGTGTATTTTATGAAACTTTTATAATGAAGCAATGGAGTCTTACAATACAAACTGGCAGCACTTCCAAATATTTGAAGTATAAAAATAAACTGCAGTACCCTTCTCAGACCTGAGAGTCAATAGGACAGATGCAATAGAGTTCAACTGTTTATATGACTTTGGCATTTAAATGCCCATCTGCCTTCATTTTTCTCTATTCAATGCAGGTACTTATTAAAGCTGGTTTGGCTCAGTGATGTCCTACAGACTGGAGCCCATGACCAAACTCACTATTTTTTAAAAATAGCACTTGTTCTCTTTTTATGGGCAAACATTGCTTGGTTGGGAGAAGAGCGCTCTTCTGCTAACCCAAAAGTCTTGAGTTCTGATCTCAGACTCGCAATCTATAGGACATCCTTGAGTCCACCCAGGGTACCTGACTCTTGTTAGGGAAAGTTAAGATGGTTAGACAGCAACTACAATACTGTTACAGAAACAGATGAATTCTATTTTATCTGCCCTATTTACAGAAAGGATAAACGTACTATATTTGTATGTAATTTAATTATTTCTGTTTGTTGTCCTGGTTTAGAGAAGATTAGCTCCCTGGTGTCTGAGATGACAGTTGAAAGCCCTGAGTCCCTGTCCAGCCTGTGTAAAGATCCCAGCATGGACGCTGAGACCTCGGCTCTGCTAGATCTGGCCTTGGGGGGTCCTAATGACACCAACAGTCAGCTGTTGGCCATGATGGTGGACTTTGCTTTGCATCAAGGCTAGTGACACAAGTTTTTTTTTTTTTTTACAGTTATACACAGTATAGTAGATTCTTACCTCAATTTAATTGCAAGAACTATTATGAATTAATTAAATATAATTAAATAGTTAATTTTTATGGCTAGTCAAGTTTGTGCTGCTAATTTATTGAACTTCAATTTTAAAAATTCAGTATTTACTCACTTAACTGAAAAACAATTAACACACTTTAAAAATTCTACGAATGGAGTTATCGATTTTTTATTTGCTCTATGTCATTAAAGTTAGCTCTATATTTTTTTGTATGTTTGTTTTAAAAAATACCTGATTTAAATAGCTTAAAAATTGTTTGGGTTTTTGTAATTGATTTTGACAGTAATTGTAAGATGTGTAGAATGATAATTTGGCCTTGACATTTGAAAGGATTCTAGTGATAACTTTGTCACATGTACTTGCAGATTTGAACACATGTGAGCTGAGAGAAGAGAGATGGTTAGACCTGGTGACCAGATTTTTCTTAGCTGCATTACTCAAGCATTGCAATTTGTGGAAACACATTCAAGAGCATGACTGGTAATCTTTGATTTACCATTTCTGTTACTGCTCTTAAACTATGTTGTTGTTTCTTTAAGACAAAAGTTTGTTTTACCTATTGTATCTAAATAAAAAATACATTTTACTATTATGTTTTGCATATTATTAAAACACACTTTTCTCCAAATTATTCTTTATAATTTTAACTGACAATTTTCCTTAAACTTTGATACTATTCTAATAATTTAATATTGTAACTAAAAATCCTATTGTTATTTTAACAGTTTTCTCTACATTTTCTGTGTAATTTAAAGGAAACTTCTCTGAAATGCTGTGTGTATGATTTATTTAAATAAACATCTGCATTCTGCTTGTTTAAAGGCCTGTGAAGGAGTTGGAAGCCATTTTCCTCATGGTCTACAAAATTCGTAGCGTGCTTGTCTCGTTCCGTTGCCGCGGCCAGGAAGAGGACTCTGACAAAACCATAGTGGGTCAAAGGTCAACTGACAGCAAACCAGACCAGCCCCAGAGTGAGGGCAGGGAGGACGAGGTCATGTCTGAAAGCCCAGAACATTCCAGGGGTGAATTGCTGGATGAGAACATGGACCACGACTCTGACCATGAGCACCATGATACTGATGGTAAGGTTTGCTACTCAATACCTCCAAATAATTATGGTCCCATATTTTGTTTTACATTTAATTTTTATGTTGTATACTTTTCCCCCCGTTCTAAACTAAAGTGTCACTTTAAATCTGTCAAAATCAAAGATCATGGGGTATATATTTTGCTTTATAAATGATTGTAAAAAAATGTATTGAAAACTTTTTAAACCAGCTGATGAAGAGCAGCAGTCTCCATCAAGGATTTTACCCCTGGAGAAAAAAAATGAGTTATCCTATGAAGAAATGTGCTACAAGTATTTAGAAAAGTGTATATTTTTGTTGCTGTGTGTCAGACCTACTCTCTCAGGTTTAGTACAAACTTTTAATCTTTTTTATGTATGTTTTTATTGTGATGAATTTTATTTTTGCCTTAACTTAAATAAATAATTTTACATTTTTTGTATTTTTGGTTAAAAATAATCACTGTTTATTATGTACATATTTTGTATTTCATCACTGACTCATCTTCTGTAGGTGATTCTAATGAGTTTCTTCAAAAATCACCTGTTAAAACCACAAGAGGTAATAGTTTATGGTGCTTACTTATGTTTCATCTATTTACACATATTCACTGTGGTTCAACATTGTTAACAGCTTAGTTTGCCAGTGACAGTGCCAATAGTTTGTGTTAAATCTGTTTAAGTGTAGTATTTGTAGTGTACATACAGCTCCAATAACTCACATCCAGTAGTTCTTGTAATGGTAGAGATGTTCATGTATAGTGTTTTATAATCTAAAAATATTTGTTTACTGCTTTTAATTTATGGATTCCATTTTTCTGATGAAAGGCAATGATACATCTGAGATTTCTCCGAGAAGGATCTTGACAAGGCAAGGGAGCTTACCTGACATTCCATCTGATGTCCAGGTAAAAAAAAACTTGTCCAGTATGGAAATTGCGCTAAAAACTTAACTAATATTTTACGTACATAAACAGTTGTTAATTATTTCTCATCTAATACACGTAATTTTGTTTATTATTATCATGTGATTTAATTTTTTTAGAATAAAAAAATAAAATAAAAAATTAAACTTATGTATTATATCTTATCAATTATTTTTTAATTAGGTAGTTCAAATTTTATTGAATTCTTTTTTTTTTTTGGGTTAGAAACACATTTTTTAAAACTAATTATAAACTATGAGAATATTTTTTAAAAATCTATTATGATATCTATTGCAAATATGAAAAACCTTTTGTAGGAAGAACATCCGCCAGTGTTCAGAGAAGGCATGGGCACTCCCACCCCAAGCTCAATTCACCTCAGACACCAACTTGGTAAGAACCCATGTTACACTTAGGTAGTCTAGGGTTAATGCTTAGGTATTTGTTAACTGCTCATTACATAATGTTATTGTATTACCATGCTATCACTATAAAGAACACTCCTATTTCATGAAAATTACCAAAAAAATATTCATACTTTCCTCCTTTATGAAAATATTTTAATATAATTCATTATCCTATCATTTCCCCCTCAATGATAATGACAAAATAAAATTTATCATCCCATATTTTCTGACTATGAAAAAGACTGAATAAAATTTATTATTCCATATTCTCCTACTCTATAAAAATGACAGAATAAGAATATATCATCATATATATCGTATGACATAATAAAACATATAATATTATCATAATTAACGAAAAGGGAAAAATAAATTTCATAATCAAATATTTGTATACTTAATGAAAATGACAATAATATTCAAATCCATATTTTCCTACTGTATGAAATGAGAAAAATGTATTATCCTCTAGGTCCAAACTTAAACTCCTTACAAAAAGTGAAAGAGATGCTGCGTCGACTCCGATGGCGCCAGGAGAGGATGAACGCCATTGGCTCAGGCCAGGGCTGGAACCAGCATGAACTCAGCAGCCTGCCAGAGAACCGCGTGGTGACTGATATCCTCCAGTTTGTGTGTGGCGAGCAGAAGAACAACTACGTGGACTCCTTGGATGTGGAACAACTGGTCAAGGCTATGGAGCTTCAGCAGGAGAGGGCTCAGGTTTGTAGAATATGACTGTAACAGATTCAAGTGATTTTTAATTCATTCTATTGACATATAGGTAGTGTCAGGATTCAAATTTGTAGAACAACCCACAGTCCATCCAGGTCTGATGGGTGTCTGGTCTGACCCTTGTTCGGGAAAGTAAAGGCTAAGTGGTGTCCACACTTTCCCTTTATATGCAGAGGTCACAGAAATATGTGAAATCGATTTCACTTGCCCCTTGAACTTGCAGGTTCGGAGGGGAACTTTACTAACCACTATCTTGCAGGCTCTGTTGTAGTTTTGTAATGGTAACAGCATTCATCTTCACTTATATGCTCTAGCATCTTAATTCTGCTATTTTATCTTATTTGAGGTATAAAAAACATTTTGCTTTGAGTACACCTGCCGAGGTCACAGAAACAAGTGAATTCTACTTCACTTGCCCCATAGACCGTCAGGTTTGAAAGGGAAACTTTACACCTGCTTATCGTCATTTTATAAATTAAAGTAGATATACATGATAGACTTACATAAATGTGTTTCTCGTGATTTGGACCTTCACTACAGTCCAACTTTACCATTTGTTTTACCTTACAGTCCAGACTGTACGCACTCAACCAAATAGTGGAGCTGCTGACCACAGGTAAAGACAAGGACAAGGACGTGAGCCAGCACAGCTCCCCCAACACAACTCTGCTCAACTCTGTCCATCTCCAGCTGCTTGCTGGCTGCTTTGGTCTATTGATTTTACGTCCAGATTGTAGCGCTGTCTCCAACCAACTGTATCACTACCAGGTGAGCCCAGATTGTAGCGCAAAAAGTAAACTTTTAGCCACATTATTCCCCACTTAGATCTAGTGCAATACAGCAGTCCTGAACTATTATTACAGGGCAGTGTATGTTAATGTTGTAGTAACCTTTGATCCTATTATTCCCCACCCAGATCTGAACTATGATTAGAGGACTGTATGTTAGTATTGTACTAACCTTTTGACCCTATTATTCCCCACCCAGATCTTAACTATTGTTACAGTACAAAGTATGTTAGTGTTTTGTGACCTTTTGACCCTTATTATTCCCCACTTAGATCTGAAATGTTGTTACAGTACAAAGTATGTTAGTGTTGTACTAACCTTTTGACCCTTATTATTCCCCACTTAGATCTGAACTATTGTTACAGTACAAAGTATGCTAGTGTTGTAGTAACCTTTTGAACCTATTATTCCCCACCCAGGATGGCATCAAGGCAGCCTCAGCACAAACACAACAAGAGATCCAGCTGGTTGTCCACAGAATCTATGAAGTGTTGGTGGTTTCCTTGATTGAGATGATGAAGATGGAGAACATTGGCCATTGTGAGTTAATCCTAAATTTTAGTGCACGTTCAAGATAACACTACCTAATACTAAGCATGCTTATTCTCCTGTTTATTCACCTCATTTTGTAATATTTACTGTTTGGGGACAATATGAAATGCTAGGCAGTAGCCTGAATATGTTAAAAGGCTGTATTATTATTATTGAACCTGTTACTCATTACTAGCTTATAATTTCAATAAATCTTTCTGTAATGCTGCTTCTGAATTATATATTTTATGGGTTAAATAATTTTCAATTATTTAACTGAAATCTAAATTGCTATTATTTTTTACAAAAATGTTTCTACCTTGCTAAAATTTGTTTTAAAATGTGATTACATTTAATTCCTTGTGAGTTACGACAAAAATACTTCTAACAACTTTGATATGTTTGAGTAGTACCAGATTTCAATTTAGCCATGTGATTCAGCTTTGTAATCTTTAGTTTGATTTTATTGTCAAACAATATATTCATTATCTCCTTATATCAATTATAAATATTGCAGACACCAAAAAGTATTTAATGTTGTTAAACAAACTTTAATACAAATATTGCAGACACCAAGAAGTATTTAATGTTGTGAAACAAACTTTAATACAAATATTGCAGACACCAAGAAGTATTTAATGCTATCATCCATCCTGGCACTGAGCGTCAAGTACAAACCAGTGGACGTGTCCCTCACAGTCTCGTGCGGGCTCCCACCAGTACTCCTGGAGTTGTGTGGTACCAACAGTATCCAGAACTCTCACACACTCCCACCTGTTACTCTTCTTCTGGAACCTTCTCACCTCTCCACCATCCTGGGAGTGTCTAGTCTTAGGCTTCTACAGATCATTGCAGTTACTGTTGGGTAAGCTTGTCAGACTCCTGTACAGTAAAGGTATTTAGTCTAATGAACTAGCTGGGCTATTGTCCTCAGAGAAGGTATTTGGTCTAACGAACTAGCTGAGCTTTTGTCCCTAGAAAAGATATTTAGTCTAACGAACTAGCTGAGCTTTTATCCCTAGAAAAGATATTTAGTCTAACGAACTAGCTGAGCTTTTATCCCTAGAAAAGATATTTAGTCTAACGAACTAGCTGAGCTTTTATCCCTAGAAAAGATATTTAGTCTAACGAACTAGCTGAGCTTTTATCCCTAGAAAAGATATTTAGTCTAACGAACTAGCTGAGCTTTTATCCCTAGAAAAGATATTTAGTCTAACGAACTAGCTGAGCTTTTATCCCTAGAAAAGATATTTAGTCTAACGAACTAGCTGAGCTTTTATCCCTAGAAAAGATATTTAGTCTAACGAACTAGCTGAGCTTTTGTCCTTAGATAATGTATTTAGTCTTATAAAAGAGCCAAACATATCTCCCTTATTGGGGGTATTTAGTCTTATAAAAAGATAACCTTTTTTGCCCTGTAGAGAAGGTATTTTGCTTAAGTATTTTGTACTAAATTTTTTCACTCTTCTGATTTGGTATTGTGTCCAACTACTATGTTAATCCCCTGTTGTGATGATAAACTTTCCTCCATGGAACTTAGTTGTAAGTTGTCCTATAACACCCAGTTGAGCTATCTATATCACTGTATGGCTTGTCCTAACCAATCCAATTCAACCACAGCACCTATGCTGATCGATTGAGTGGTGGTGTGGTACAGTCAGTCATTGAGTTGCTATGGAAACAACTGGATGGACTTCTACAGCACAAACCCATTCCATCATCAGATACTTTTGACAAGCGTAAGTTGGTTTTTATACACATTTGCTATTAAATTTAAAGCCTTTTTTTTTCTATGTTCTCTTGTTGATGTATTGGTACTGATTGTTGTGTTGTGTTGGGGTTATCAACACTGGCTAATGTTTGTGTTGTGTTGATTCTAGAGATGAACCAAGTGAGGTTATCAACACTGGCTAATGTTTGTGTTGTGTTGGGGTTATCAACACTGGCTAATGTTTGTGTTGTGTTGATTCTAGAGATGAACCAAGTGAGGTTATCAACACTGGCTAATGTTTGTGTTGTGTTGGGGTTATCAACACTGGCTAATGTTTGTGTTGTGTTGGGGTTATCAACACTGGCTAATGTTTGTGTTGTGTTGATTCTAGAGATGAACTAAGTGAGGTTATCAACACTGGCTAATGTTTGTGTTGTGTTGGGGTTATCAACACTGGCTAATGTTTGTGTTGTGTTGATTCTAGAGATGAACCAAGTGAGGTTATCAACACTGGCTAATGTTTGTGTTGTGTTGGGGTTATCAACACTGGTTAATGTTTGTGTTGGGTTGATTCTAGAGATGAACCAAGTGAGGTTATCAACACTGGCTAATGTTTGTGTTGTGTTGGGGTTATCAACACTGGCTAATGTTTGTGTTGTGTTGATTCTAGAGATGAGCCAAGTGAGGTTATCAACACTGGCTAATGTTTGTGTTGTGTTGGGGTTATCAACACTGGCTAATGTTTGTGTTGTGTTGATTCTAGAGATGAACTAAGTGAGGTTATCAACACTGGCTAATGTTTGTGTTGTGTTGGGGTTATCAACACTGGCTAATGTTTGTGTTGTGTTGATTCTAGAGATGAACCAAGTGAGGTTATCAACACTGGCAGACCTGTTGGTGTTTTTAAGACATGTCATGGCCACCAGAGGATCCCAGCGACGCCTCACTGAGTGGAGATGGGTCAAGTGTTTGATTGACCTGGGCTGTGGTCAAGACAGAGAAGGTATTGGCTAGCAAGGCTGGGTATTCTTGGTATTTAAAAGCCCCAGTTGTAGAGTTAACATATGGGATATTATTTTTTAGCATTCCTAATTAATTTTCTAAAAGTTATGGAGACACAAAGTATTAAAAAAATGAAGTTTTTTTTCAATATGAATATAACCTTTTTTCAGGCCACTTGTGTTTTGACAGCCTACGTGTGCGTATCCTTGCCCTGCAGCTGCTGGGTGCAGTGCTACCTGCACTTGATATGCATCAGGAGAACGAGTATAAGACAAAAGTAAAACTTGTTGCACTCATTGATTTTTAACAACATTGTTTATGTTTTATTAGTAAATTGATTTCCATTGATGTAAAATTAAATTTCAAAATATCAAATTATGAATCTATTTTCATCTAAGAATCAGTGAATCCATATTTAAATTAAACAAAATAAATTAATATATCAGACACAATTTTACTTTAATGTATAAATTTCACTTTTTTAACAAAGTCATGTATCAAATTGCCTTTACTTTTCCATCTTAAGTCAGCTGTGAGCTGATTCCAGAACAACTTGTCATCAGTTCTGTCATAACATTTCTGGTTGAAAGTGATTTAAAATATGTCTTTGCCTGAAATATTATTTTTTACTATTTATCTGATGATACATTAATATTTTAACACCATATCATTATATTATTCACACATGCGATACATCGCGGTTCTTTTGATTACCTGGACAGGTGGTGAATATCCTGTTCTCTAGCCTGGCCAGCATGATGTGGAACATACCTGTAACTAAAGCCATCACCTGCGCAGAGAAGAAGAGAAACTTCCTCATCACACAGATTGAGGCCACCAAGGGCAAGCAGCAGCAGTCTGGGAGCAGGCCGGCACCAGATTCCAACAGCTCCACCCCCACCTCGGAGCAGAGTTCTCTACCTGCTCTCTTGGCCCTGACCGCCGGGTCATCGACCGGTTGTCCGTCTCTGGACAGCGTGGTGATTCCCAGTGCTGCGTTTGATGCTGACCGCTGCGTGGCGTGTACGGTGGAGACTGGCCACACCCTAGTTCATGGGTCAGGGGGTCGGGGTTATGGGCTGGGCAGTACTGTCATGACTTCTGGCTGCTATCAGTGGAAGGTAAGTTAGGCTTTTATCATTCTAAATATCATTCAATGTGCTTAATGTAAATAATTAATTGAGATTATGATTTATTTTGTTAAGAAAATGGCCAGAGAATCTTTAGTCTGATGGAATATATGGAGTAACTTTTTATTGTTTTTACAATGGTTGATTGCTTGTGGTCTAATTTAGTAGCTCAATTTTCACCCATTCATAGTGGAATAAGTTATTTTAAACTTTACAGATGTTTTTCTAATGTTATTAGATATTTAATTAGTCATTTAAGTTCATTACTATACATGTTAACCAAATTGGACATAACTAGGTACTAGCAATCTCCCAATTAGTCACCTGTCAGAGGTCATTTACAAATATTAGAGATGTATGAAAATAAGGGGCAGATAATGCCTTTATAGAGTAAATTTAATCAGGTCATTTTTGCCATATTAAGTCGATTGGGTATATAACAAGCTATTTGAGTCACGAGGGATGTCAACTGAAGAACAGCCAACTTACTCTTACATCTTCACATTGGCTCTATTCTAAATAGTAAAATATAAAACAAACATGAAATTTTACAGTAACTTGCTTTTAAACACACAAAAAATATTCTCTTAAATAAATTTGCGACTAACACTTTTAATTTAATAGCTAAAAAAACTTGTGTTTATTTTCTCATGTTTTATGTATTTGTGTTATTATAGGTTTTTATTTATACTTAGTTTGTTTCAGTTTTGCTTCTTTCGCTAAAACTGTCAAAATCACTTTTAAACTCCCTTGTTATTCCAATACTGTTAAAAGCCTTTGTCACTCAACTACAATTTAACATACCTGTCTATATAATTTAATTGTTAAAATTATTGAGACATTGTTTATTTATTGTGGTTTTAATAGTTCTTGATAGTTCGAGAGAATCGTGGTAACGAGGGCACCTGTGTGGGTGTGTCCAAATGGCCTGTCCGAGACTGTGGTCACCGCACCACTGGGGACATGTGGCTGTACCGTGCCTACAGCGGCAACCTGTACCACAACGGAGAAACCAGCTCCACACTGTCCAGCTTCACCCAAGGGGATTACATCACAGTCATACTAGATATGGATGCTAGAACTCTGGCCTTTGCAAAAAATGCAGAGGTTCGTTGGCACTTATTTTCTTACAACTTATACTTTTTTTTAAATTTTGTTAAGCAAAATAAAAGGTATATCTTTTAAAGCAATGATGTTTTGGCCTTTGTGGTTAGTTGAAGTAGCTGTTTTTAAAGAATATTTATGATGGTAATCTGATATTTAATTTTAAAATTTGTTATTGCTGTGTTTAGGAACCGCGACTGGCATTTGAAGATGTTGATGCTACGGAGTTGTACCCCTGTGTCACATTTTACAGTAGTAGCCCTGGGGAGAAGGTAGGTCATCTTTTATGTCAGTCAAGTGGTGTGTACTTTGCTCACTCTTGGGGGGTCAGATGCTTCTGCAAGAAGAAATTGGAGCATCTGCCAGCTACTCCCCATCTGAACATGTAGGGAGTTCCTAGAATGTAAGGGTTCAGACTATAGTGAAGTCAGTCTGCAACTGCTCCTCATTCAAGCATGTTAGGATTTTCTAGATTGTCAGGGTTCAGACCATTTTGAAGCAAATCTGCAAACTGCTCCCCATCTAAACATGTTGGTATTTCCTAAATTGTGATGGTTCATCCACATTTGGCCCTATAGCACATGATTAGATATTTTTGGGCTATGTCAGGGGTCTACTTCCAGCCACCCTGCTCCTGGCTTGTCCATAGCAAGAGCTACTAAGGTCAAGAAGTGGTTACAAAACTTACCTGTGTGTATCTTAGGTGAAAATCACAGACATGCATCTGAGAGAGAGCCCTAGGGAGCTGTTGGCCGGGTCCCCCATGTGCGCCCCGTCTGTGGCCGTGATGACAGAGTCCATGATCAACCTGATCCGCAGCCTCCACAGTGTGCCAGCGTGGGCCAGCTCCATCAGCGAGCACATGTGTCAGGAGTTGCAGGCCCTGCATGGCTGGACCACGGAGATGCAACAGAGTCCAGCTGTGGGGGACAAGATGTTCTCCCAGAGGGGTCGGGATGATGAGAACAAGACCAGTGACAGCTGTGAGGAGAAGACAGAAGCTCCAGTGTGTAGCTCTAACAATGAAGAGAAACGTTAGTCCTCATTTTTACTTTAGCTAATTAAGAGTTACCAGAAAAATGTACAAACGGAAAACTATGCTAACAGAAAAATGCACAAATACATTAATTTTGTCATATTTCATTGAAAAATGTTTTATTATGCTACAATGTACATGTCATTCTTAGCCAGTGAACATAAATGCTTGATTTAAGAAAACAAAAATGCCCTTGCACACTTTTTGTGCAGTTTTCCATGCTCATCTTTCCGATCACCCTAATTAAGAAATCTCCATTAGAAGAAAAACTTCCTTTTCTAAAGAATAATAGTCAAATAGTTTATTTTTGCAGTTTTGTTTAGAAGCATAGCTCTCAAAATATTCAATTGTTTAAAGGGGATAAAATAATTTACAATCCTTTAGAGGTTAGAATAGAAAGAAGTGGTACGGAACCTGTTTGCTAACCAAAAGCCTTTAGCAAGTCTGTTGAATACCTGATATTAGTCGAGTAAATTAAAGGCAGCTAATAGCACAAAACTCATAGAAATGATCAACCCTGGGCTCTTCTTTTAGGTTTTTTTTTTAATAATTATTATATGAAATTGAGTTTGACAAAACTGATTTTGCTCGGAGAAAAAAGACCTACATATTCCATCATATTTACAGTAGAAATGTGTAAGCGATTATATTTTAGGGTTTTGTTCTTCTGAGCTAAATCAATTTTCATCACATTTTGCTAAAACTAGAAGACTAAAAAAATCTTGTAAATATCTTGCGGCATTGTGTTCTAGTTTTAAACATATCTTTATTTCAGCAAAAAAAGAGAGTGAGAAAAAGAAGGATAAACTGAAACATGAGAAAAAAATGAGTCGAGACAGTCACCTGGCCTGCCCTGTTGACAACCTAAAGCTGGAACAAGCCTGCAACAGTGTGAGTAGTTCCACCAGGCCAAAACTACCTGGTCTATATACCTGCTTTACACTTCATTAAACTGAAAAGGTTTTGGACAGTTTCCTCTTGTACATACCATTTTCTCTATACAGACAAGATTATTAGCTTTTCAGATTTTTCTCTTATGTTCAATGTTTAAATTTAATGTGCTGTTATTTTTATATTTTCTCAGATTTGGCCATGTTTGGCTGTTATTGGGGGTGTGGATCATGGCTTAAGAATTGGAGGTAGATGTATCCATAAAGCTACAGGCAAGAAGGGCATTGTGTTAGGCCTACCTAGAGAAGCAGCAATCACAGCAAAAGTACAGTGGGATGAAGGGGATAGCACTGTCAGGTAATGGCAGTTGACTTCCCTTTGCAAGTCTATTTTTCAGCCATTTGTAATGAAATACATAATGTTGATTATGTCCTACCCTGTATTTTATACCACGTATACTTTCTTGAGGTCAACAAAATAATGTAACTGTTTGTTTTGAAATGCTCAAAATGTAAAACATACAAATAAAACAATGTTGTGTTTCTCTGTTTCAGTGATACTGTTCTGTCAAATTTGGAACCCATGGAAGGAGAAATCTTTGATGTGTCCCTGCTGTCAGGCTTCCAGTCTCACCACCTGGATGCTCTGGTTAAAATAGCTTTCCTGAGGGACTCAAGGACACGCTCGGACAGCGCCACCTTCAGGCCTGGGGACCTGGAGAAGCACAGGGACCAGCAGGAGATGGAGGCTGTTGCAGGTAACAATACCATCTCTCTCCCTCTCTCTTGTAGATAGTCACTACTACCAGAGCAACCAATGTAGACCAGGACAGGATAAAGAATCAAACATCTTCCTCACCCATCTTCCAGCCGCTAGACTCATGTTTTCCTCCAGGCTTTTGGTTTCTTCCCTATTGCATTGCATCACCTAGTTTGGGTTTAAGCGGCTGTTGGGCTGGATAAGATCTATGGTCTTGAGTCTATTTATGTGGTTTAGCAAGCATGCGTTGTACCATTAGACTATGCCGCCTCCTATGTAAAACCATTTTATGAAGTGTATGTATTCAGGCCACTTAGTACACTAGATAATGCAAGTTGGTTTGAAAAAAATTGAATCTATATAAATATTTTTGTAATAAGTTAGTTAGAAGTTACAGCACTGTCTTTGTTGATTCAGCAGCCAGACAACGAACTAAAGAAAGGTCCGAGCTGCTGATGAGAGAACTGGACAGGGACATCTCTGCTATGCTGGACGAGGACCTCAGCGCACCAGACCACAACGCTGATAAAAAATCAGCAGCCGAGGAAGTGTGCAGGCAGGGGAATCGTTACCCGGTGTTCTCCCCAATGGATAGCTACAGCATCTTAGAGCCACCCCGAGCCATCATGAGGAGAGAGATGAGGGCCGTCAGCGTGGACTCTGCTGACACAACCATCACGGCCACCTCCCCCCAGAAACTCGCCCACCCCATCAGCTCATCTGAGATGAACCTCAATTCAGACCTGGACCGGCTCTCCCAACTGGGCAGTCAGACGTCCACGGCTTCACAGAACTCCAAACCAGAGACTTCCCAGTCAGTTAGAACGGAACCTGAGATCGACTCTGCCTTTGTATCAGACTTCCCTATTTCAGAGTTCTCCAGTACACCTTTAGTTGAGCCATCCGCGTCCACTAAACCACCTGGAGCTACCAAACCCAACACCTTACCTGCAGACGACGACCGGTCTCACAGAGTTCCAAATTACAGTAAACCTCACGCGCCATCCTCTGACCTGCCCAGCTTCAGCCCAGAGAAGATGAACAGGGAAAAAGAAATTCATGTCTTGAAGTTCGCCGCCCTCCAGTTGTCAGCCGTCAAGGCACTGTCGGTCCTGGCCTCCAGCGAGAGGTTTGCGGAGCTGCTGCTTGTGCCCAGGATTGGCTCCAAGGACAACGTGGTGGAGAAACAGCTCCTGGATTCACTGGGGATCCACAAGGATGAGGCCATGAAAGCCTCCCTCAGACAGATGATGAGGCTGTTTGTGACCCGCTCAACCTACCCTTCCCCATTCAAAAGGGCTGTTCCACTGACTGAAATTGAGAGAGCTTTTAGTGTGTTGCATAGCTCCATTATACAGCACATTGCTGAGGATAGATTGGGAGTTATGTCCCTTGAAGGTAATAAACCTTTTCTTATTTCTAAATTCTGATCAATCAGTTTTTGTTAAATTTTAATGTAAGCCTAACTTATAGATATATATTGACAGTCAGTTAAGCATCATGAGTTTAAAAAAAAAAATGCTTACAGCTTTCTCTTTAGGAAAAATAACAAACAAACAGATATACAATATTGTCAGAGTTAGGTAATGTTTATTTAACGATTGTATCTGGCAAATGCTTGTTTGTATTGTCCATGTTACCATTGACATATATATGTTGGTTGATAATTTCTTTGACATCATACAAAATAATTTCTTGTCATTTTCCATATCATCATGAAGGTATGTTTATTGTCAGATGTCTTTTGTTATTGTCCATGTCACCATGACTACACATGTCTGTTGTTTATTGTTTGAACAGACAAAGTAACCTCTCTGTCAACCATGAGCAAAAGGCGACTTGACCTGCATCTCAATGATTTACCAATGGCTGTGCCCAAAAAGATGCAGGCCAGTGACACCCACATGCCCGGCATGGCTTCATCCGCTGATGGGAGTGACACCTCCTCAGCCTTTGGAACTAGTCACCAAACTTCCATCCTGCAGTACATGCGAACAAGTTCTAGGTACATTGTTTCTCTGCTAACTTAAGGAACATGTTGCTATATTTATTTATTACATGTGAACAAGTTCTAGGAACATTGTTTCACCGCTAGTTTTAGGAACATGTTGCTATGATTATTTATTACATGTGAACAAGTTCTAGGTACATTGTTTCACCACTAGTTTTAGGAACATGTTGCTATATTTATTTATTACATGTGAACAAGTTCTAGGTACATTAGTTCACTGCTAGTTTTAGGAACATGTTGCTATATTTATTTATTACATGTGAACAAGTTCTAGGTACATTGTTTCACTGCTAAAATAAGGAAGATTTTGCTATTACTATGTATTACATGCACAAATTCTAGGTACATTTTTTTCACTGTTAATTTAAGGAACATGTTGCTATAATTAATTATTTATTACATGCACAGTTTCATGGTACATTGTTTCACAGCTTCTTTAAGGAACAAATTGCTATAAAAATGTATTACATTGTTTGCTAATGCATGTAGCTTAATTTAAATGCAATGCTAACAGTTTAGGTTGTTTCTGTTAGTGATAATTTAAAAGATAGGTTGCCATCTCAAATTTTTTGTTTACTATGTCTATGTAGCTTCTATATCTTGTATTATTTGCTAAATGGAATAATAAATTCATAAAGTTTATTGTAAATAATTCTAAAAGTTTAAGGACTACAGTTAACTATTAATTAATATGAAAACTTGTTCTAGTTATATTTATATTTTTAACTGAGACAAGTTATCCTAATACTTTATTAACATTAATTCAAACTGTATGTCTAATAATTATATCTAGAGAAAATTACGTATTAAAGTCTATGTAACTTTTCAGTGCTGAAGACATGCGGGGGTTTACGAGGCGTATGTTAAATGCACTGAAGCCGAGTGGCGTACCTGTGATATGCACATCTACACCCACTCCCGCTCGCAGACCCCAGCCCCCTAATCCTATTAGATCTCGTTCCCCCTCACCTCCCCCGCCACCAATAGTGACCCCCTTGCTGGAAATGGGTTTTGGACTTCAGCATATTAAGCAAGCTCTCACAGCTACAGGTATGGCATTGGAAGTTTTTTTCTATTGAAATAATTAATTTAAAAAAAATCTTTATGTATTAAGGCTTGTCAAATAAAAAATGCAAGTACAAAATTTCCTGTGGTCTTGAAAGTAACTGTAAAGTAAATTGTAGTATTGTACACCCTTATGAACCAAACAGTCCATGTGGCAGGTGAAGTTGAGTTTACCTGTTTTAGTGACCTGGCATATGAAGGGATAGTGTGTTCAGCATGATCCCCAGCCACTTGTACTGTCCCTAAAGGCAGTCAGGTACCCATTAGAGCTGGGTGGACTCAGGGATTAGAACTTCGGTTAGAAGTTGTATGTTCTACCATCCGACCACACAAAATTGTAAATGTGTAACGTTTAATTTACCTTGATGTGTTTGTGTCACCTGTGTACAGGTGTCACAGGTAGGGAGGTATCAGCCCGCTCCACCAACCTGCTAGCCACCTGGATGCTAGAACATCCCATAGAGCCAGAGGACCCAGACCTGCATGACATGGATGTTGGGCTGAGGGACAGCATGCCCCCATTTAGTATTCTACCAGAGGAGATTGGCATGGCTCCTCTTGTGTCTGAAAGGTAAGGCTTGGCCAATATTTTTTTCTTACATTTTAAATACCTTTTTTAATGTAACAATAAGAAACTGTTGGATGGTAAAAGTATTATTTTCTGAAATATATAATATAGCCTTCCTACAATGTTGCTTGAATTTTTTATCTATTTTTTTCTTTTCAGTAAGTTTAAATCAAAATGAAATAAATATAGCTGAATTATTTTATTAGAGAAATTGCCATGTAGACCTCTTTTGTGTGTGTGTGTTCTGCACAATGAAGAGAAAGTGCAATTAGCACTATTCCCATTAAGAGATTGGTTGACACAAGGATTTCCTATCTTCTCAAGCCCTTGATCCCACTTATACTAATACAGGACATATGGATTATTTGTCTAATTAGAGAGATGGCCATTGAGGCCTTGGGTTAGTTATCAACCACACAGTCCCACACATGAATGACATATGGATTATTTGTCTAATTAGAGAGATGGCCATTGAGGCCTTGGGTTAGTTATCAACCACACAGTCCCACACATGAAACACATATGGCTTATTGTCTATTTAGAGAGATGGCCATTGAGGCCTTGTCTGAACGCTTAGACAGTCTGATGCTCAGCGAGGACTCTGAGGAAGAAACTGAAGAGTATGATGAGCTTCCAAGACCCAGTCTGTCCAGGCGACCCAGACGCCTCACCCGTGGCAGACATGTCGACATCCGGAGTTTTCTCACTGCTGGTAAAAGCATTTTAATAAATGTCTTCGACCAAACCAAAATTATTCATTTGATTTGTTATGTTTGGCTTGTAGTCTTATTTTTAAAGGGAATTCAACCAAACCAAAATCATTTATTTTTTATGTTATGTGTTATAATGTGTACGGTTATGTTCCCAGACTGCTGTCTTTTTTCCCTCGTTGCCCGACTGCCATTTCTTAATGCAAAACAATTGTAGTAGGATTTATTTATATTTTCTAGATAAAAACATACTTTTTTTTCAATTAGTTTACAATGTTTGTTTGTTGGTTGTAATAAATCTTGTGACTCAATTTTGACCCATTTCTAGCAATTTTATTTTTAAAATTAGATGCATTTGTCTAACCATTTTCCTTTTACAAATGCAATTTCTAAAAATTGTTTTGTGGTTTTCATCATATTTTAGTGCAGCATGGAGTTGTTCAATTCATTTAAAATGCTGGTGATTTTTGTTTGTTTGACTTAGCTGCCAGAGATCGGCGCAGTAATCGCCCTGAAAGGCGTCAGGAGGTTGGAGAAGCACGGCCAATGTTTGACATCTATGACGACTTTGACCTTCAGGAGGATTTCTTTTTAGAGGATGGTCAGGACTTTGATGACAGCTTGTCCCTGGAGGCTGCTAGAGAAACTGCCAAGGCTATGTCAGTTTTGGTGAGTGGCTGTAGTGTTAGTTGTAGTGTTAGTGCTGGTACAGTGGCTATGTAAGCACTGGTCAATTGGCTGTGTTAGTTGTAGTGTTAGCGCTGGTACAGTGGCTATGTAAGCACTGGTCAATTGGCTGTGTTAGTTGTAGTGTTAGTGCTGGTACAGTGGCTATGTAAGCACTGGTCAATTGGCTGTGTTAGTTGTAGTGTTAGCGCTGGTACAGTGGCTATGTAAGCACTGGTCAATTGGCTGTGTTGTAGTGTTAGTGCTGGTACAGTGGCTATGTAAGCACTGGTCAATTGGCTGTGTTAGTTGTAGTGTTAGCGCTGGTACAGTGGCTATGTAAGCACTGGTCAATTGGCTGTGTTAGTTGTAGTGTTAGCGCTGGTACATTGGCTATGTCAGTTTTGGTGAGTGGTTGTAGTGTTAGTTGTAGTGTTAGTGCTGGTACATTGGCTATGTCAGTTTTGGTGAGTGGTTGTAGTGTTAGTTGTAGTGTTAGTGCTGGTACATTGGCTATGTCAGTTTTGGTGAGTGGTTGTAGTGTTAGTTGTAGTGTTAGCGCTGGTACATTGGCTATGTGAGTTTTGGTGAGTGGCTGTAGTGTGAGCGCTGGTACATTGGCTATGTCAGTTTTGGTGAGTGGCTGTGTTAGTTGTAGTGTTAGCGCTGGTACATTGGCTATGTCAGTTTTGGTGAGTGGCTGTGTTAGTTGTAGTGTTAGTGCTGGTACATTGGCTATTTCAGTTTTGGTGAGTGGCTGTAGTGTTAGCACTGGTACATTGGCTATGTCAGTTTTGGTGAGTGGCTGTGTTAGTTGTTGTGTTTGCGCTGGTACATTGGCTATGTCAGTTTTGGTGAGTGGCTGTGTTAGTTGTAGTGTTAGCACTGGTACATTGGCTATGTCAGTTTTGGTGAGTGGCTGTGTTAGTTGTTGTGTTTGCGCTGGTACATTGGCTATGTCAGTTTTGGTGAGTGGCTGTGTTAGTTGTAGTGTTAGCACTGGTACATTGGCTATGTCAGTTTTGGTGAGTGGCTGTGTTAGTTGTAGTGTTAGTGCTGGTACATTGGCTATGTAAGCACTGGTCAATTGGCTGTGTTAGTTGTTGTGCTTGCGCTGGTACATTGGCTATGTAAGCACTGGTCAATTGGCTGTAGGTTAGCACAGGTCAACTGGTGCATTAGCTGTAGTGTTAGTAATACTGCTGGTTGACTGACCAAAATCAGCGATGTATGAATTAGTTTACATCAGGACAATGCTGATAAAGTTATGTTGACATGGTAAAAAAAGAACTTTGAATTTGCCCCTAGCGCTGGAGGCTGGAACAGAGCAACACTGTCAAGTGTGAGATCTGCAACATTGATGTTCAAGCTTTCAATCACCACATGAGGACCACACACCCTGGCTGTGGCAGTAGGTCTTTTACATTCTATAGTTAGTCAAGCTTTTTTATACCTTTTATCTTGGCTGTGGCAGTAGGTCTTTTACATTCCCTGTGTAGTCATGGAGCTATTTTAGGCCTTTTATCTTGGCTGTGACTGTTGGTCATTTTTTACATTTTCTAGTTTAATCAAGCTTTTTTTAGACCTCTTTCTTGGTTGTGGCAGTAGGTCTTTTACATTCCATAGTTAGTCAAGGTTTTTTAGACCTTTTATCTTGGCTGTGACTGTAGGTAATTTTTTTACATTTTCTAGTTTAATCAAGCTCTTTTTAGACCTTTTATCTTGGCTGTGGCAGTAGGTCTTTTACATTCCATAGTTAGTCAAGGTTTTTTAGACCTTTTATCTTGGCTGTGACTGTAGGTCTTTTTTTACATTTTCTAGTTTAATCAAGCTTTTTTTAGACCTCTTTCTTGGTTGTGGCAGTAGGTCTTTTACATTCCATAGTTAGTCAAGGTTTTTTAGACCTTTTATCTTGGCTGTGACTGTAGGTAATTTTTTTCATTTTCTAGTTTAATCAAGCTCTTTTTAGACCTTTTATCTTGGCTGTGGCAGTAGGTCTTTTACATTCCATAGTTAGTCAAGGTTTTTTAGACCTTTTATCTTGGCTGTGACTGTAGGTCTTTTTTTACATTTTCTAGTTTAATCTTTCTTGGTTGTGGCAGTACATAATCTTTTACATTCTTTATTTAGAGTTTATTTTAGAAAGAGATAATAGATTTGTAATCTAACTGCTGTTTTAAATTTTTATGCTGTTTTGTTATCAAGTTTTAAGCATTTAAAATGATGTATATCTGACTTGATAAATATTGTTACTATTAGATACTATTAGAAGCCACATAAATATTGTTACCAATAGTTAACAGCTATATAAATACTGTCACCATTATATAACAGCCAGATTAATACTGCAACCATCATATAATAGCTAAATAAATACTGCCACCATTAGATTACTGCCCTATCAATATTGTGACCATTATATAACAGCTATATAAATACTGTGACCATTAGGTAGCAGCCGTGGCTATGGTTACCGCAGTCTTGGCCTGTATGAGAGTGGTTGGTTTGATGGTGCATGTGGGACTGGAACACCTTTCTACCTCATGTGTCAAACTTGTCGGGAAAACGCCATACAGGTAAAATGTCTCACTTTGTTTTCCGTAAAGTCTCAGTTTGTTTGTTCTGTAATTGTCCTACAAAAAAAGACAGTTGTTACCTTACTGCACTTATTAACCCCAGGCTCACCAAGAACAGAGAGCTGCCAAGGCCAGTGGAGGTGCAACAGGCACACAGTCCAGCTCTGACAGAAGTTCAGTAACCCCATCACAGCTTGCTGGCTTAGCTGCCCCTGACTTGCTGGGTGTGTCAGAAGGCAAGCATGAAGGTTGGTTACATTGTCCTCCACCATTCTTCACCCCCACCTCTAATCTTTATTTTAAAACTATTTCAGTTAATACACATTTTTTTCTTTTTTTTAAACTAAAAAATATTTGTTGTGTCTTGTTAGTTATTGTTACCTCCCTTATATTATCTAAGTGATGGTTCTTGAGTGTTTAGTCTCTGTGTAGTTCTGGCAGTGGCTATGAACAAGACAGTGCCCAGAAGTGTTGTCTCTACATGTTTAATTAAAGTTTTATATAAACTTGATGGCTTCTACTTTCTACTGTTATCTTTTAAGTACCAGTTGAGTAATGTAACAATGTTGACTGTTCCAAAAGATGAAATGCCACTGACGCTAGATGACCAGCAGGCTCTGCCCACACTTGACCACCAGAAACTCCTGCCACGCTTAGGACTGTCTGAGAACAAACCAATCCCAGACCCAGTGAGGTTTACAGAGTTTGATCCCCTTGGTGCCTGCACTATAACAACAGTCAGTGTGGAGACAACTCCGTCTAATGCTGGAGCTCTGGCTGGTATGTACTTTTACTTCCTTTACACTTTGCTTTATATGACTTGCATTTTAGTTGTATTACAGTAGGCATGGGTTGTGATAAAAATTATGAGTTTTTTGTGTATTTTCCCTGATCTTTTGATCACTAACCTACAGTTGAATAAATAATAGTTCTTGTTTATAAGAAAGAATGTAAAAAAAGCACTTGCAACAATTTAGTTTTGTTTTATAAATGAATTGTAACTACAATATAATTTTAATGCAACTAACTGAGTATGTTAAGCCAAAAATGTTTGCTCAATAAAGGAGATAAGTTTATTTTTTATAATTTTTAGGCTCTGTCTCATCACTGGGAAGTCGATCTAATCCAGATATTTCATTATTTCGTAAGTTTCTATTGGTTTTTCTTAGCCTATATCCACTTCATTTAAGGCTTAGGGTTCCTTATGGAATATGTTTAAAACAACAGTACCTTGTGTTAATTTAGTTGTATGTGTACTTGTGGTTAATGTGAACCATGTATACCATGTTTGAATACACCTGCAGCGTCCATATCAAGCATGTACCTGATGGGTGTCACATCTGGGGCTATACCCAAAAGCCTCAAGTGTGATGTCAAACAGAAGAGTCTGGGAGAGCAGGCAGCTCACCTCAGTAAGATGTCTGATAAAGTCTTGGCCCTGCGGAGCTCCGTCAGCGCTGCCCAGACACTGGTGGCACGGGCGGTCAGCATGAAGATACTCTCATTTCTAGCACAGAGGTGGGTGCCATATTTTGTATACATGTACAGCAAGCAAATAGACGTTTTGGAGAATTAAACTTGACTTTTTAAAATTATATTTCAGGTGACATATTGTTTGACTCAAATATGTGTAGATAAAGTAGTTTTTTTTAAAAAAGCTGTGTATTATCTTTAAGCACAGAAATGTGTGCCATAGTGTAATCTACATTAAAATAATTCCCATTAATTTCTGTAACATATAATCCTGTTAAAAATCAAATTTATTAAAACGAAATGGACATTGTGTTTTTTAAGCATGTTAACTAGAAGTATAACAATTTAAAGCAATGTCTCCTCCCTCCCACTGTTGTAGTGGCCAAGCTTGTAGTTTATCTGCTGCGTTGGAGCAAATTGGTCTGGCAGACATCATGCAGATTGTCAGGCTGATGTCACTGTGTGCGGCAGGGAAGATGGAGCTACTGTGTAAGTCCTCACGCAACGACGAGTCTGCCAAGCACCTCAACCATCTTACGGCTGCCATTGGGGCTCTGATTGAGGAGAACCCTGCTGCCCTGAAGCAGCTGATACAGCTCTGTACTCAAGTATGTGGGTTTAGTTGGTTATTTAGGTTTACAACAAATGGTTGTTTTAGGTAGGCCAGTGTTGGTTTTTTTTTTTGTCATTTTGTTACAATACAATGGAAAAAGAAACATTTAGACAAATCTGAACTAAATAACTTAAAAGTTGTGTGTCTGTTGAACATTTTTTATATTTATACTTTAGACTTTTCAAAACAGTTACAGTGCATAATATGTGGAAGTTATAAAAAAATTGGCTGGTGTACTAAATAAAAAAGTGTAACTTAAGTTACTACAAGTAATGAAAGTTTGTCTAGATGCTGTTTCACCCTGTTGTTGTGTTGTAGGAGCTAATGATGGCGTCTATGGGGATGGGCACAAGTGGAATAGAAGAACACACCACCCACAGACTCCTCCCATCTCCCCGTGGGGGTGAGTCCACAGCATTTGCTGTCACCCAGGCTTTAGTCTCCCTGTTGGCCCAAAAGGGCTGGAGCTACAAGCTTCTTCAGGCTCAACTTTCTGCAGACAAAGGTGATCTTTATGTTGTAGTTGTCTCATTGTTATAAAGATTATCTTCATCTTGTAATTGTCATAGTGAACTGGAGCTCCCTAGGCTCCTTTATGAGTTATATGATGCCGATATTTTTTTAAAAGAGCACCCTACACTAGGGACACGGTGGGCTACTACATTAAATGCCTAAATCAAACCACAGGTTGCACACAATGCAGGAATGTAACCGGTGGCTCCTGAGAGCTTTAGAAACCAAGTTCACTGGACTAAAAATACACAATTGGGAACATGTTGATGACACATTTATAAACTGTTTTGTCACTCTGGTAATAGACGGCTTGATCGCAGTACACAAGTGTTTTTTATTTTTATTTTTTTCATTAAGGCTTTTATTTTATAATATGAATGGTGCTGTTTCAGTGTCCCCCACTCCACCTGAATCTCCGTCCAATGACCTGAGTAAGTGCTCTCACCTTCAAATGATCAATGCCCTATCTGCCTGTGTCATATCTGCCCGTATGCCCCCACACCACAGGCAGTGGTCAGCTAAACAGTTGGTTCGGGTAAGATGGTTAATAAATGTGTTGTGGATTTCTGATTTCTATTTTTTCTTTAACTTGATTAAATTCTGTCTTTATTGATTGAGCTCTGCATGTGATAATCTAAATGTGAGATGTGTAATCTCTGCATGTGATAATCTAAATGTGAGTTGTGTAATTGACAGGCCTTATCTGCTTATGGTCAACAAGTGACAGCAGGGTCAGATAACCAAGTGGACCTGGGTGGGGACATGCCAGCTTGTCCACTGGTCAAACTAGAAGGTCACCAAAACAGACTGAATGGGTGCTGGTGGAGCGCCCGTAAAGGCTACCTGGCTTCCAGGTTAGTTTAACTACCGAAACATTTGTTTGTTAGGCTTTTGCATCCAGGCTAGTCTAACAACCATAACATTTTGATAAATTCATCCACATTACTCTTAAGTATAAAATAAAATATATTTTGATTCTTATTTTATAGCTAATATTATGTTCGTATAAGTGTGTTTGAAACATTTTTTCAATGCTAATATTATATTAGCTCTAAGTGTATTGTAAACACCATTTCAGTACAAAAAATGTTTGCTTAAGTGTGTTTAAACAACATTTCAGTGCTAATTGAGTTAACTTTCTTTGCATGTAGTGGCTATGATGGCACAGTGAGGATATGGAGCCTACCCAACAAGACCCATCAGTTCCTGCAACAGACCTGCATCTTCAACAGGGGCAGGGAGAACAGTGTGGAGGAGCTGGACGGCAACCAGATCAACATGGTGTGCTGGAGCAGCACTGGCAAGCTGTTGGCTGGTTGCATGGACAACCTCGTCAACATATGGATGATTGGAGGTGAGTTATGTTACTCTCAGCTGGTTGCATGGACCACCTCGTTGACATATGGATGATTGGAGGTGAGTTATGTTACTCTCAGCTGGTTGCATGGACAACCTCGTCAACATATGGATGATTGGAGGTGAGTTATGTTACTCTCAGCTGGTCGTATGGACAACCTCGTCAACATATGGATGATTGGAGGTGAGTTATGTTACTCTCAGCTGGTCGTATGGACAACCTCGTCAACATATGGATGATTGGAGGTGAGTTATCTTACTCTCAGCTGGTTGCATGGACCACCTCGTTGACATATGGATGATTGGAGGTGAGTTATGTTACTCTCAGCTGGTTGCATGGACAACCTCGTCAACATATGGATGATTGGAGGTGAGTTATGTTACTCTCAGCTGGTTGCATGGACCACCTCGTTGACATATGGATGATTGGAGGTGAGTTATGTTACGCTCAGCTGGTTGCATGGACAACCTCGTCAACATATGGATGATTGGAGGTGAGTTATGTTACTCTCAGCATGTTATGTCATTTATACTCATGCAGAATATAGGCCCACATAACGCAATAAAATGTCATTTGAAGACATTTTAGGATATTCCAATGCTTAATATGGGATGGCATGGTTGGATGGGAGAGCACCTGACTGCTAACCATAAAATATTGAATCCATGGGTACCATTTAAGGGTTGAAACAATAGTTCTACACAACACAACAAATGCATGCTCATAAATATAACATATATATACTAGTGAATACTTGAAGTTCATTTAAATAAATAAAAAAATAACTTCACATTTCTACTCCATTTTAACCTTTCTTAGGCAAGGGAGATGTTATGGAAATTCTCACATTTTTTAAGTATTATGTGTATCTTGCACCCATTTCTTCATCCACTTTCCTTAGGCTTTATTTTCTCCTCTTGTGCATCCCTTCATTTGGTTGGAGGAACAACCTAAGATCAATTGTTAGCAAGCATGTGCTCTACCATTAGACCATGCTGTTTCTATATTAGAACCTAACAAAAATGTACAGCCAGATTGTGGTCTAGATTTGTTGACACTGTCCACTCCTGCAGGTGGAAGAGGTCATCTAATAGAACAACCTCAGTGGGTTACAGCCCTAGCATGGCCAGGCAGCAAAGGAATGTTTGAAGGACGCATTGGGCTGTTGGGCGACTCGCTGCTGGTTGGTCGGCATGACGGCACCATTGGCTTCATTGACATGATCGACAGCAGTACCTACAGGAGTTTTGACCTGGAGCATTGCAGACGTCGAAATGGTTGGTTTTGTTTCTTTATTTACATTCTTATAAAACAAAACAAATTTAATTTATTGTATTTAAAAAGAATTTGAAAGTGTTTTATTGCTCATCACATTGTAATTTAGAAATCAGTTTTCTTTAAATCTGTCATGAATTATATCAAGTTCCTTATTTCTATTAAAATGATTAGGCTAAGTATTTGATTGTGTATTTGATTGTCCCGCCACTGTTTGCTAGGTTTTTTTTATTTTGTTTATGATAGCACTGCAAATTTTTGTTTAGCTATTTCTGCTTTCAAAATTCACATAAGGGAGCTATAGTAATATGATTTATTTTTAAATTAACTTACATGATAAATTTCTCATGAATATTAAACAATACCTACATTTTGAAGTCTGTTGTAAAGAAATACAAATTATATTAGGGTAATGGAACTTTATAATTTTTTCGTCATGTCAACTATAAACCATAGCTGTGTAAAATATCTTATTTTTTGGCTACATCTTGATTTTGGGATTTTATTTAATGGCTTTTAATATGGTTAAAAGGTTGGGTTTTTATAAATTCAATATTTTATTACAACCACCATTTTTATTTGGCAGAGCTATGTCCCTTTTGCTAAAGCCAAAAATTAGATTTAATAAAAGTTGATAAAAAAAATTGTTACAAATTCTTGATTTACTGCACCATGTCAGTGCTTGTGTTTATTGTTTGTGTCAGCAGCATCTATTATTTATTTCAGTGTCAGTGACATCGATTGCGTGGTACGAGGAGGACAGGAGATTTGCTGTTGGCTACAGCGATGGTGTCATCTCCTTGTGCAGCCGTGAAAACTTTGAACAGCCTGTCAATATTGATGCTCATAAAGTAGGTCACTCTACTGGTCAGATACATTCAGCCTGTCAATATTGATGCTCATAAAGTAGGTCACTCTACTGGTCAGATACATTCAGCCTGTCAATATTGATGCTCATAAAGTAGGTCACTCTACTGGTCAGATACATTCAGCCTGTCAATATTGATGCTCATAAAGTAGGTCACTCTACTGCTCAGATACATTCAGCCTGTCAATATTGATGCTCATAAAGTAGGTCACTCTACTGGTCAGATACATTCAGCCTGTCAATATTGATGCTCATAAAGTAGGTCACTCTACTGCTCAGATACATTCAGCCTGTCAATATTGATGCTCATAAAGTAGGTCACTCTACTGGTCAGATACATTCAGCCTGTCAATATTGATGCTCATAAAGTAGGTCACTCTACTGGTCAGATACATTCAACTGTCAATATTGATGCTCATAAAGTAGGTCACTCTACTGCTCAGATACATTCAGCCTGTCAATATTGATGCTCATAAAGTAGGTCACTCTACTGGTCAGATACATTCAGCCTGTCAATATTGATGCTCATAAAGTAGGTCACTCTACTGGTCAGATACATTCAGCCTGTCAATATTGATGCTCATAAAGTAGGTCACTCTACTGGTCAGATACATTCAGCCTGTCAATATTGATGCTCATAAAGTAGGTCACTCTACTGGTCAGATACATTCAGTCTAAAAAAAATCCAGCTTAGATTATCTTGAAATAATTTCATTAGTTAATAAAATATATATTTGTATAAATATGGGGTTATTATAAGTTGCATTAAGTAAATAAAGGAAAATAATGTGAATTCTCTCTGAAAAACTAAAGGATGAAGCTTAGAATTTTTTATTTTTTTTGACATCTACGATAAAAGAGACTGTGATTTGATTTGTAAGGTTTGTTGAGACTCATTTGCTTTGTATGGTTGATTAAAATGGTGGATTAATTTTTAAGGTTGGTTAAGATGGTGGTTTGGTTTGTAAGGTCCATTGAAATGGTGATTTGATTTGTAAGGTTGATTGAGGCAGTTTGGTTTGTAAAGTTGGTTGAGATGGTGTTTTATAAAATTGATTCAAACTATGTTTTGGTTTGTGAGTTTGATTGAAATGGTGATTTGATTTGTAAGGTTGATTGAGGCAGTTTGGTTTGTAAAGTTGGTTGAGATGGTGTTTTATAAAATTGATTCAAACTATGTTTTGGTTTGTGAGTTTGATTGAAATGGTGATTTGATTTGTAAGGTTGATTGAGGCAGTTTGGTTTGTAAAGTTGGTTGAGATGGTGTTTTATAAAATTGATTCAAACTATGTTTTGGTTTGTGAGTTTGATTGAAATGGTGATTTGATTTGTAAGGTTGATTGAGGCAGTTTGGTTTGTAAAGTTGGTTGCGATGGTGTTTTATAAAATTGATTCAAACTATGTTTTGGTTTGTGAGTTTGATTGAGATGGTGGTTTGGTTTGTGAGGTACATTGAAATGGTGGTTTGGTTTGTAAAGTTGGTTGAGATGGTGTTTTATAAAATTGATTCAAACTATGTTTTGGTTTGTGAGTTTGATTGAGACAATGGTTTGGTTTGTGAGGTTGATTGAGACAGTGGTTTGGTTTGTGAGGTTGATTGAGACAGTGGTTTGGTTTGTGAGGTTGATTGAGACAGTGGTTTGGTTTGTGAGGTTGATTGAGACAGTGGTTTGGTTTGTGAGGTTGATTGAGACAGTGGTTTGGTTTGTGAGGTTGAGACAGTGGTTTGGTTTGTGAGGTTGATTGAGACAATGGTTTGGTTTGTGAGGTTGATTGAGACAGTGGTTTGGTTTGTGAGGTTGAGACAGTGGTTTGGTTTGTGAGGTTGATTGAGACAGTGGTTTGGTTTGTGAGATTGAGACAGTAGTTTGGTTTGTGAGGTTGATTGAGACAGTGGTTTGGTTTGTGAGGTTGAGACAGGGGTTTGGTTTGTGAGGTTGATTGAGACAGTGGTTTGGTTTGTGAGATTGAGACAGTGGTTTGGTTTGTGAGGTTGATTGAGACAATGGTTTGGTTTGTGAGGTTGATTGAGACAGTAGTTAGGTTTGTGAGATTGAGACAGTGGTTTGGTTTGTGAGGTTGATTGAGACAGTGGTTTGGTTTGTGAGATTGAGACAATGGTTTGGTTTGTGAGGTTGATTGAGACAGTGGTTTGGTTTGTGAGATTGAGACATTAGTTTGGTTTGTGAGGTTGATTGAGACAGTGATTTGGTTTGTGAGATTGAGACAGTGATTTGGTTTGTGAGATTGAGACAATGGTTTGGTTTGTGAGGTTGATTGAGACAGTGATTTGGTTTGTGAGGTTGATTGAGACAGTGGTTTGGTTTGTGAGGTTGATTGAGACAGTGATTTGGTTTGTGAGGTTGATTGAGACAGTGGTTTGGTTTGTGAGATTGAGACAGTGGTTTGGTTTGTGAGGTTGATTGAGACAGTGGTTTGGTTTGTGAGGTTGAGACAGTGGTTTGGTTTGTGAGATTGAGACAGTGGTTTGGTTTGTGAGGTTGAGACAGTGGTTTGGTATGTGAGATTGAGACAGTGGTTTGGTTTGTGAGGTTGAGACAGTGGTTTGGTTTGTGAGATTGAGACAGTGGTTTGGTTTGTGAGATTGAGACTGTGGTTTGGTATGTGAGATTGAGACAGTGGTTTGGTTTGTGAGGTTGAGACAGTGGTTTGGTTTGTGAGGTTGAGACAGTGGTTTGGTTTGTGAGGTTGAGACAGTGGTTTGGTTTGTGAGGTTGAGACAGTGGTTTCTTTTCTCCGCAGTCCTCCATCTCATCCCTGAACTGGGACCCAACTGGCTGCTTGCTGTCCAGCCGGGCAGTCTCTGATGATGAGCTGCAGGTGTGGCTGGTGTCCAATGACACAAGCTTCTCCGCCTGGTCACGCTACCAGCACACCACCGCAGTCACTGACTCCAGGTGGTGCAACATGGTCGGCCTAGGCTCCAACAAGCGGCTCATTCTGGCTAGGTGAGTAGAAATATGGTGGGACTAGGCTATTATAGCAATATGAGGGCAAATTTCAACAATTTTATTTAGTTTAAGAAATTTTAAAGTATTTCATTGTAAAAAAAAAAGGTGTTTTCAGTATCATTAATCTCCCTCTATGTAAATGTACTTTTGCTGATCTCCAGTGGTTGTGAAGATGGTATGATCTACATTTGGACCGTTCTTCAACCAAGTTCCACAACTCTTCCAACACGGCCTTGGACTAGTGCTGAACCTTCACCACTGGTAAATACGTAACTTTAATTTGTGCTGCTTACAAAATTGAATGTATCAAATAAGATGTAAAGTTTATTATAAAAAAATTTGTTTTATTTGAGGTCGTAACAATATTGTAAGTATAAAATAGCGATTATGACAGCTTTTTCAGCGCTAGAGATTGAATTAGATAGTCCTAGCTATTTCAGTAACAGAGCCTGCTTCCAGCCCCTCAAAGTATTAAGTAAGATTCAAATGTTTACTTGAAAACCAAATGTTTGATTGAGCTTTGTTTTGTTTCCCCAGGGAGAAAATGAAACCCAGAACAACGACTCCCAGCCCAGGACAAGTAAGGCCAGGAAGAAGGCAGACGTGACACTGTGTGGCCACATCGCACCCATTTCAGCCCTGGCTTTCAGCCCAGATGGCCTCATGTTGGCCAGTGGCTGTTCTAAAGGCTGGTTGAACATATGGTCAATTCAGGTGGGTTTTTTTTAAAAGTCAATATTGAGTCTCTTCTGAATGTTTAATGTCTTATACCTGTGGATTATCATCTGTTTTACATTTTACCTGTGGATTATCATCTGTATGTTTTACATTTGTCACCTTTGGGTTGACATGTTACCTGTGGGTTGACATCTGTTACCTGCAGGTTGACATCTGTTACCTGTGGGTTGACATCTGTTACCTGTGGGTTGACATCTGATACCTGTGGGTTGACATCTGTTACCTGTGGGTTGCCATGTTACCTGTGGGTTGACATCTGCTACCTTTGGGTTGACATCTGTTACCTATGTGTCGACATCTGATACCTGTGGGTTGACATCTGTTACCTGTGGGTTGACATCTGTTACCTGTGGGTTGACATCTGTTACCTGTATGTTGACATCTGTTACCTGTATGTTGACATTTGTTACCTGTGGGTTGATATCTGTTACCTGTGGGTTGATATCTGTTACCTGTGGGTTGATATCTGTTACCTGTGGGTTGACATCTGTTACCTGTGGGTTGACATCTGTTACCTGCAGGTTGACATCTGTTACCTGTGGGTTGACATCTGTTACCTGTGGGTTGACATCTGTTACCTGTATGTTGACATCTGTTACCTGTATGTTGACATTTGTTACCTGTGGGTTGATATCTGTTACCTGTGGGTTGATATCTGTTACCTGTGTGTTGACATTTGTTACCTGTGGGTTGATATCTGTTACCTGTGGGTTGACATCTGTTACCTGTGTGTTGACATCTGTTACCTATGTGTTGACATCTGTTACCTGTGGGTTGACATCTGTTACCTGTATGTTGACATTTGTTACCTGTGGGTTGATATCTGTTACCTGTGGGTTGACATCTGTTACCTGTGGGTTGACATCTGTTACCTGTGTGTTGACATCTGTTACCTATGTGTTGACATCTGTTACCTATGTGTTGACATCTGTTACCTGTGGGTTGACATCTGTTACCTGTGGGTTGACATGCTACCTGTGTTTTGACATCTGTTACCTGTGTGTTGACATCTGTTACCTGTGGGTTGACATCTGTTACCTATGTGTCGACATCTGATACCTGTGGGTTGACATCAGTTACCTGTGGGTTGACATCTGTTACCTGTGGGTTGACATCTGTTACCTGTATGTTGACATCTGTTACCTGTATGTTGACATTTGTTACCTGTGGGTTGATATCTGTTACCTGTGGGTTGATATCTGTTACCTGTGTGTTGACATCTGTTACCTATGTGTTGACATCTGTTACCTGTGGGTTGACATGCTACCTGTGTGTTGACATCTGTTACCTGTGTGTTGACATCTGTTACCTGTGTGTTGACATCTGTTACCTGTATGTTGACATCTGTTACCTGTGTGTTGACATCTGTTACCTGTGGGTTGACATGCTACCTTTGGGTTGACATCTGTTACCTGTGGGTTGACATCTGTTACCTATGGGTTGACATCTGTTACCTGTGGGTTGACATATGTTACTCATGGGTTGACATCTGTTACCTGTGGGTTGACATCTGTTACCTGTGTGTTGACATCTGTTACCTGTGGGTTGACATCTGTTACCTGTGGGTTGACATCTGTTACCTGTGTGTTGACATCTGTTACCTGTATGTTGATATTTGTTACCTGTGGGTTGACATCTGTTACCTGTGTGTTGACATCTGTTACCTATGTATTATGTATCTTCTTGTTCAGGACAAGTGTCTCATGCAAACTTACACTGGCACTGGATCAGTTAAAACACTGGAGTGGTTTGCAGAGCGCAGCCTAGCTGCATGTTTTAGCAGATGCAAGGTACCATTTCATTTGTCAAACATACATACACATATCAGACTGTTAGAGTTAAACATTGTGTGGTAGGCTTGGCCAAGTTAAAGCTTAACATGAATGTGTTTTTGTAATGCTTATTAATTATTTATTTTTGTATAGAAAATCTCAACTAAACTGACTATACAAATAATGTCTAAACAATCTTTTCTCACATAGGATGTTGTAATTCTGAACTACTCAACTGAACTGTACCACACAAATCGTGTTGTTGCTCTGGCTCGCAAGTCACTGAAACAACAAGGCATCATGGGGCTGAGTCAGGCAAACTGCTTTCTTAGCCTGCTACAGAAGCTTCCATCAATGCTTCTTGAGCAATACCAGCATGAGAAGGTAAATTATAGGCATGGGGTTAGTTTTGTAGTCCATGATCATTTAGGTTTAGATTAGTGAAAGGTTTTATGTCTGTTTAAAGTTAACTAAAAGATATATGTTGGTTAAAATACAGTTGTAGAATTCATTCCACATTATTGTATGATGTCCTGTTGTGTTCCTTATTTCCTAATATGCTGTGTTGTGTCTCTCATTATTTATGATGTTTTTTGTTCCCCATCATTTCCTAATGTGTCCCCATCATTTCCTAATATATTCTCTATCATTTCCTGGTATACTGTGTTCCCCATCATTTCCTGGTATACTGTGTTCCCCATCATTTCCTGGTATACTGTGTTCCCCATCATTTCCTGATATGCTGTGTTCCCCATCATTTCCTGATATGCTGTGTTCCCCATCATTTCCTGATGTGTTCTCTATCATTTCCTGATGTGCTGTGTTCCCCATAATTTCCTAATATGTTCTCTATCATTTCCTAATATATTCTCTATCATTTCCTGACGTGCTGTGTTCCCCATCATTTCCTAATATGTTCTCTATCATTTCCTGGTATACTGTGTTCCCCATCATTTCCTGATGTGCTGTGTTCCCCATTATTTCCTGATGTGCTGTGTTCCCCATCATTTCCTGATGTGCTGTGTTCCCCATCATTTCCTGATGTGCTGTGTTCCCCATCATTTCCTGATGTGCTGTGTTCCCCATCATTTCCTGATAAGCTGTGTTCCCCATCATTTCCTGATGTGCTGTGTTCCCCATCATTTCCTGATGTGCTGTGTTCCCCATCATTTCCTGATGTGCTGTGTTCCCCATCATTTCCTGATGTGCTGTGTTCCCCATCATTTCCTGATATGCTGTGTTCCCCATCATTTCCTGATGAGCTGTGTTATATTCCAGAGCCAAGTGCTATCAGGGGACCAACTTCAACACAGTCAATACTTGCAGTGTCTGACCTCCATGGCAGTCAGCCTACAACTGGACTCAGCCTTGTGCTTCTCACCTGCACCCCTGCACCATCGCAGCCTTGAGTCAGGTAATTTATCTGCTTCATGCACTAGCATTCTTTTACAGAGGATTGCATTTTAATTGATGCACATCTTTTTTATACATGTATTACTGCTTTTGTCTATGATTTTCTAAACATATGACTGCATTAGTCTAAGATTTTCTAGACAAATGATTGCATTAGTCTAAGATTTTCTAGACATATTACTGCATTAGTCTAAGATTTTCTAGAAATATAACTGCATTAGTCTAAGATTTTCTAGACATATTACTGCATTAGTCTAAGATTTTCTAGAAATATAACTGCATTAGTATAAGATTTTCTAGATGTGTGACTGCATTAGTCTAAGATTTTCTAGACATATGACTGCATTAGCCTAAGATTTTCTAGACATATGACTGCATTAGTCTAAGATTTTCTAGATGTGTGACTGCATTAGTCTAAGATTTTCTAAACATATGACTGCATTAGTCTAAGATTTTCTAGACGTGTGACTGCATTAGTCTAAGATTTTCTCGACATATGACTGCATTAGTCTAAGATCTTCTAGACATATGACTGCATTAGTCTAGGAAAGTGAGATGAGTGACTGCATTAGTCTATGAGAGTGAGATGAGTTTGATTCTGTCCCCAGACATGGAACACATAGTGAAGGACTGGCACTGGCTCCTGAGCTACGCCTGCGCCATCAAGTCAGCTGACTCCCTCCTACGCAGACAGCCTTTCCCTCCAACCTTCAAACTTCTAAACAAAGAGAAAATCAAAGCAGAATTTGAAACTCAATCCTATGTGAGCTCTTTTTTATTTGGAAAAAAAAATATTTTGGGAAAAAATATATTGTAAAATTATGATTGAAGTAACACCCCAATATTTAAAAAATCACAACAAAATAAATAGAAGTCAATTGTTACTTTAATAAAATAACTTTGCTAAAGAAGAAAGAAAAATCCATTTTAATTTTAAAACTTCAGACAATAAAAATATTTAAACTACCCAACATTAAAAAAAAAAAAACAGTTTTATAAAACAAAAAAACTAATAATAATTTCACTCAAATAACAAATGAGAATCCAAAACAACTTTATAGAGATAGGAAAACAAGTTTTAAAACTAATTAATACTAGGTATATTACTGTAACATGTAAAACTGTAGAGAAATCTTTTGATAGCCTGATGATGTTTAACCTCTGTGTTTGGTCTTAGGATAATAAACAATGGGACTTAACATCAGATAGTCAAATCATGTCATGGGCAACACAGCAGCCAGAAGATTGGCAGACTGGTGGAAGGTAGGTTTATACCTTGGTTCTTCTTCAACACTTCTGGCTCTGATAATTAATAATATTGGGAAAGATGTGACACTATTAGAGTATATCTTTAGGGATTAAAATAATATTTCATTATGCCGTTTTTTTGGCAGTGAAATTTTAAGACAGAAAAATCTTGTTAGACACACCTTCTTGATGCCTCTGCGTAAAAATATAGGGTGGGGGGGGGGGGGTGGTAGTTAGTAATTTTTGTGGTGAATTCATTCTACTATTGCTCTAGTATTATAGTTTTTTCAGATGTCAGTCGTTTATGTGGGGTAGTGGAAGACATGGACAGATTTGTGAAGGTGGAAGAGTTGCTTTGTTGCCCATTAAAATACCCTCTCTCTCCAATGCACAGCAGGTATGTATTATCTTTTAAAATTTACTTTTTCTTTTACTGATGCATATGTTCCAAACTTAAAATAAAGTAACAGGCCCAATTTTCAATTGCTTCATTTATTTTTTACAATTTAAAAAAATAGAACTAAAATTTGGCTAAATTATGTCATAATTAGTTGTAATTAACTTATATTTATATCATGAAAAATTAAATTGTTTATGCTCATGAAGATAATATTGTAGTAATGTATAGTTGATGTATAGATTATGCTAGAATACATATTGTTGATTTAACTATTGATTGTGCTGAATGTTGAACCTACCCTCAGATAGTCTGTGGCCAGAACTGTACATTCATCATCATGCCCAACGGCTCTTTAATGTCTTGTGGAGAAGGGAGTTATGGAAGGCTTGGCCAGGGAAACTCTGATGACATCCATACCCCAACAGCCATTTCAGCCTTGCAAGGTACTCTCCCCTTAGTCTTACTTTCAGCAACAAGGCTAGCTGTACATGTTTTGTACATAAAAGATTTATAAGTTTAGTGACATTAGAAATAAAACATGACCAGAAACCAAACCTTACCTGAAGTAAAACTTTACCAGAAAAAAAAAAAACGTTTGTAAATTAAAAATTTCCAGAAATAAAACTTTTCTAGAAATAAAACTTTACCAGAAATAAAACTACCAGAAATAAAACTTACCAGAAATAACACAATACTAGAAATAAAACCCCTATCACGTTTTAATGGCTTGCTAAACCTACCCCTCATCAGGTTTTAATGGCCTATTAAACCTACCCCTTTTAAGGTTTTAAGGGCCTGCTAAACCTACCCCTCATTAGATATAAATAAGCTACTAGCAACCTCTCCTCCCCCTCATTAGATATAAGTTACCAGCAAGCTCTCCTCCCCTCAGGTTTTATTGTTGTGCAAGTGGCCACCTCAGCAGGTTTTAATGGCCTTCTAAACCTACCCCTCATTAGATATAAGTTACTGACAACCTCTCCTCCCCTCAGGTTTTATTGTTGTGCAAGTGGCCACCTCATCAGGTTTTAATGGCCTGCTAAACCTACCCCTCATTAGATAATTTACTGACAACCTCTCCTCCCCTCAGGTTTTATTGTTGTGCAAGTGGCCACCTCAGCAGGTTCAGATGGACACAGCTTGGCCCTAACAGAGAGTGGTGAGGTGTTCAGCTGGGGGGATGGGGACTATGGAAAACTTGGACACAACAACAGTGAGAGGCATAAGAGGCCCAAGCAGATTGAGGCTCTTCAAGGGGAAGAAGTTATTCAGGTATTTCGTCCATCTACTTGACTACAATTCTGGCAGAAATTGCCTCTGTTACTAATATGTCTTTTCTTATTCGGAATGTTTTTCATATTTTGACAAGTTTGTTTGTGGGGTATTGTAATTAATGAACTATAGAGTTTTTGTGGTAGGTTCTATGAATGATGTTTGCGCTAAGTTCTATGTATGGTGGATGTAGTTGGTTCTGTAAATGATGTTTGTGGTTTGTTCTATAAATGATGTTAGTGTTATGTTCTGTCATTGATGTTTGTAGTTTATTCTACTGACGATGTTTGCGGTTTGTTCAATGAATGATGGGTGTGGTATGTCATTAGTCATGCTTGTGGTTGTGGCAGGTATCATGTGGATTCAAGCACAGTGCTGTAGTCACATCTGATGGTAAACTCTACACATTTGGCAATGGCGACTATGGGAGGCTGGGCCACGGCTCCACAGCTAACAAGAAAGTCCCAGAGAGAGTCATGTCATTAGAAGCTTTTCAGATTGGAATGGTGAGAACTTTTGTTTTGTTTCTTTCCAAAGTCATGATGACCATGTACTCAGCTTGACTTTTTAAATCATATTTAAAGCTCTTTAATCTTTTATGTTACTCTGAATGTAGTTAATTTTTTTGTGATCTTACAGTGAATAGTTAATGCTACTTTTCAGAAAATACATCAATTCTATAAACTATTTTAAAATATTCTCAGGAGTCTAACATTTGTGATGCATTATTCAAAACCTGTATTTTTTCAATACTTGTGAATGAATACATGTTTTTATTGTGTATTTCTTTACTTAATTGGGTCTTATGTATAAATCTTAATAGAGGATACAGTATCACATATTCTGATGTAGTCTAGCAAAGACTGTGGTAATAGGTTGATAAGATCACTGTGTTGCAGGTGGCCTGTGGTCTGAACCACACACTGTGCATGTCAGCTGATGGGGGCATCGTCTGGGCATTTGGTGATGGAGACTATGGGAAGTTGGGTCTAGGCAACAGCTCTCCCAAGTCAGTGCCTACCAAGGTGGAGTTACTCAAAGATTTCATCATTAAAAAAATTGCGTGTGGAACCCAGTTCTCCGTCGCGCTGACCACAGATGGACATGTCTACACCTGGGGGCAGGGTGAGTGGGCTGTACTGGTGGGGAATAGAACATTTGAGTCTTATATTATTGACGTACTTACATAACTTTTGATCATTTTTAGTTGAAGTTATAGTGTAAAAAGAAAAGCATGTTGTTCATAGTTGTATAGTTAATATTACACAGTACCATATTAGGTTTCAAACTAATATAACCCATAAAATAAATATTTATCGTAATATACATGATTTCTTGAAAATATTCATCAGTCTAACACATATAATGCATTATTCAAAACTTATATTTTTCCAGTACTTGTGAATTTATTGGTGTTTGTGTAGTGTATTTCTTTACATAAATTAGATTGCTTTAAAAATTGTGATGGGCAAAATCTATAAGTATTGTATCAAGGATTTTTTCTACAATGTTGCTGTATCATTTTGAAAATCCTTGAGTAAATCCTGCTGATAAATTAATAAGTACTATTAATAAGTATTAATATAATAGTGTTTACATAATAACAGTACATTATGTTGTGCTTTCTTCTAGACCGCATGATAGGCCAAGGAGAGACACAGTGTGTCAGCCATTGTAAACCTGAGCAGGTGATGCCTTTGTCTGGCTACTTCATCGATGACATCACCGCAGGCGCTGAACACACTCTGGCCCTGGCTGTGTCTGGCCAGGTGTGGGGGTGGGGCATCAACACTGACGGACAGCTGGGCTTGGGTCACACTAACTCTCCTGTGAAGGAACCAACTCTTCTACCTCAGCTAACAGACCAGAACATTAAACAGGTTGGTCGGCTTTGTGTCCTCTTTCCTATACTATCTGGGTCGTGCTCTGTCCTACATTCACCTATATGTCCTATGTCCATACTTTCCTCTATGTCTTTTGTCCTATATGTCCCTTAATGTCCTGCGGTCAACCCAGTGGGATTGGTAAAGCTCATGGTTGCTAAACCCAAAAGTCTTGAGTTCAAACCCCTGGGCTATTGAGGCTCCTAGCTGTGGACATCAACTCATCTAGGAGAGAAAACTCCAAAAATCAAACAACTGCTGCCTTGTAGTTTGTTGGACAAAGGCTATGGAAGCAAATCTGGAAAGAAAAGCAGCCTGAATATGGTTAACACATTATGCTGAAGGAAACCCCAGCCAACATTACAATTAAGAATGAAGAAGTCCTGTGTCCTACATGTCCTATACTGTCCTCAGATCTCAGCGGGAAGGAGTCATTGTGCTGCCTGGTCTTTCCCGCCTCCACCCAAGCGTGTCCCTGGAGTGCCAGCACCCTTACAGCTGGGGCTTCCTGAAAACATTCCCCCGCAGTACACATCACTGCAGTCTGTGCCTATAGAGGCTATTAGAAGTAGACTCATTGTGCTTCACCATTTTAGTGATCTCGTCTACTCATCTTGGAGGCTACTCAATCTCATTCCAAAATCAGTGAGTTTACAGCTTTAAATTCTTGTTTTACAGTTGTTGGGTAATTTAAGTTGTTTTTTTCTGCTGATATAATTATGGTCAAGTTTGGATGAGGTGTTGGAAAAAGGTAGTAATAATATCAATAAATTTAGTACTTGAAAAGGTATCAAAGTTTTTTTTTTTTAATTATTCATTCTTTAAATATCTGAATAATAGTTCTGTTAAGTCATGGGTAGTTTTATTTATTTGTATATCTATAAGGTTGAAACTTCACATAAAGTAAAGTAATTAATCCAGTAGTTTTATATATTTATAGTTGTCTCAATACATTTTCTTCAAGAATATGAAAAAAAAATTTTATCTTCAAAATTTTTTTGTGGTTTATATTATCAGGTTAATTAGAGCAATTTTTCCTCATAATTTAGGATTATTGTTGTGGTGAATAGGATCAGGTTAATTAGAGCACTTTCCCCTCATAATTTAGGATTATTGTTGTGGTGAATCTGAGGTACCAGGGATATGTGAAGGTCCACTGCGACCTTTGCTGTCCCCTCGTGTTTACACTCTTCCCATGGTTCGGGCAATCAGCAAAACAATGATACAAAGCAAAAACTGTGGACCCCAGATAACTGTCAAACGTTTGTCTACCAGGTAAGCTGTAAAAATTCACTCCAATCTTTAACCCTTAAAGCACGCCAAGCTAAAATCGTGGCTTTGCTGTTACATAACTTAAAGCGCGTAAGGCCACATGGTGCGTGTTTTAAGGGTTAACAACCAGCTATTGTTTAGGTGTATTTTATTTATTTATTTAAAAAATAGTTGGCACTTGCTTTTTAGGTTATAGAGGTTTTGTTTATTTTTAGGAATGATTTCGTAATTGTATCTGTATTGCTAAATAACTAATTAACCAATATATTTTTTCTGTTATACATAACATTTTAAAATTATTGATTTCCTTGATAGCTCTTTAACCTACATAATTTTAAAAAAAATATAAACATTTGAAAATGTGACATTAGAAAGTTCAATTAAAAATAACTTTGAACTGTGTACAGAGGTAAAAAGTGCCGTCCAGTGTACACCCAGATAGCACAGCAGGTGGTCAAACTAAAAGCTGATGACCTCAGGCTGCCAGCCAGGGCATGGAAGGTCAAGTTGATTGGTGAAGGGGCAGATGATGCAGGGGGTGTCTTTGATGATACTATCACAGAGATGTGCTTGGTTAGTTCCCTTTGTTACTCTCTGATAGTTTGGGTGTTGATTAGCTTTTATTTAATTTCAAGATGAATATAATTCTTAAATCATTCTAAATTATAAAATAATCATTTGTTGCACATTCTTACTGTCTATGTAGTCACAATTTTTAGTTTAAAACAAAATATTCAAAGTTATTATTGTAGGCTTTTCAAACCTGTTGTTTTTAGTTATAATCCACCTGTTATTATACAACAAAAACTACTGGGGATTGTGAATATTGTGGTCTCTTTAATTTTTACCTTGAGCTGCTTTGTGTTTCTGACATTACATAACACGAGATGATTCTATCTATAGGAACTGGAGTCTGGAACTGTCCCATTACTAATTCCTACACCAAATGCTAAAAATGAATCAGGGAATAACCGAGACAGGTAAAGATATATATATATATACTGAGCTGTGTCCTTATGAGCACTAGCTTTTGTGTTCAAATTATTGCTCTTGTCTTCTGAAAATAATATAGGCCACTTAATATTGATATTCTATTTGAAATATACTTCCTAATTCATTGTAAAAAAAGTTTTTAATAATGATTCATCAAGAAATAAAAAGAAATATACTTTCTGTTTTTTCATGTATAATTTTGTTGTGTATCCCAGGTACCTTCTAAACCCATCCCTGTCTGTGGATGAAAATGCAGCCTTGTTCAAATTTCTGGGCATTCTGTTTGGTGTGGCAGTGAGAACTAAAAAACCACTGGACCTGCATCTTGCCCCGTGTATATGGAAGCTGATTGCTGGCATTCCACTTAAAGTGGATGACTTGGAGGAGGTAAGGCTGTTCTAGTCTCTGCTGCTTAACTAAGTTGCTACAAAGTTTCTCTAGTCATTTTATTTTTTTTATAGCTTGTTTTTTTTTTTTTTGCTTTATTGATTACATAACTTTTTTATAACAAAAGTAAAGTAGTATAGTTCCCCTCCCAAACCTGACTGTCTATGGGGCAAGTGAAGTCGAGTTCACCTGTTTCTGAGACCTCGGTATATCAAGGGATAGTGTAGTCAGCATTATGCCCAGCCACCTTTACTTTTCCTAACATGAGGTACCCATCAGAGCTGGGTGGACTCAGGGATGGCCTACTGTCTTGAACCTGGATTCGAACTTGAGACTTGTGGGTTAGTAGTCTAGCTTGCTACCGCTAGGCCACTCTGTGCCATTTATAACAAAAAGTAATTCTAAATTCTTTTTAAAAATCTTTTAATTATACCTTACCATGACATTCCAAAATCATTGGATTATACCTTACCATGACATTCCAAAAATCATTGAATTACACCTTACCATGACATTCTAAAAATCATTGGATTATATCTTACCATGACATTCTAAAAATCATTGGATTATACCTTACCATGACATTCCAAAAATCATCAAATTATACCTTACCATGACATTCCAAAAATCGTTGAATTATACCTGTCCTTACCATGACATGCCAAAAATCGTTGAATTATACCTTACCATGACATTCCAAAAATCATCAAATTATACCTTACCATGACATTCCAAAAATCAGCAAATTGTACCTTACCATGACATTCCAAAAATCATTGGATTATACCTTACCATGACATTCCAAAAATCATTGGATTATACCTTACAATGACATTCCAAAAATCATCAAATTATACCTGTCCTTACCATGACATTCCAAAAATCATCAAATTATACCTGTCCTTACCATGACATTCCAAAAATCATTGAATTATACATTGCCATGACACCCCTGCTGGAATGTTATGTACTCAACTTGGAAGAAAGACCCAAAATTTAGCACAGTGAAGAGGTGTGGTTACATTCCTATGCTCCACTGGGGGCTCATAGGAATGATAATGATACCTTCTTTAGTTGTTTTATGTTGATGTCTGATCACATCTATGTTTACTGTCTCAGGGAACATTTGCTATACCCTGCACATCTTGTCTTCTTAGGTTGATCACTTGTACATACAAAGTTTAAGAGGAATCAAAGAAATCCATGAAAGTGGAATCAATGAATTCAACTTCCATGAGGTAAGATGTTTAGTCTCAATACTTTGTTTCTTTATATTAAACAAATATTTTATTCAATGACTTATTGAGATAAAAGTACAGAACGATACTTGTGTAAAAAAATTGTTGAAAAAAAAAACTTTATGGTTAATATTTCTGATTACCCCTTAAATACCTGTTTCCATCCAAGTTGTGAAGAATATTGCTCACTCTCTATGAGGTTTTTTTTTAAATTTTGGCTATTAAATCTTCACATTTTTCTGTCTACACCTTTTATAGAATAAGAAAAAAAAATTCTATCCCTTAGGTTTCTGGTTTAAACTACAATAAAATTTATTTGTTCTGAGTAAATTTTTTGTACCATGATAATTTGAAGTTCTAATTTGTTGTGCTAACTTGTTTTAATTGCACTTGTTTCGATATAACTAACTTGGTGAATATTTTTTGTTGCTCTAGTTCATCCCAATTGACACATTTGAAGGCCAGAGCTCCAGTGGTCACATGGTGCCAGTGGTACCTGGAGGCCAGAGTTTACCTGTCCATTTCCACAACAGGAATGAGTATGTTGACTGTGTGCTACAGTACAGGCTGCATGAGTGGGACAAACAGGTTTGTATTGCTTTGCCATGTTGTTAGGGTTACTAATGATAGCTTTTCATATTATTATACTTATTATACATCCTATGAAAGGAATCTCTTTCTGTATCGTATAATGAACTATGTTATAAATAAAATATTTTACATAGGATTCTGTATACTTCTAATTATACAAATGAGTATCTTAATGAATATCATAGATAGGCCTGCATAGTTTAGATTATTTAATCTTCTGATTAAATTCATAGTACCATCATAAAGGTTTTATTACAAATGTTTGGTTTGAAAAGGGAACTTTACTCTTACACTCACCATAATAAACATTTCTATTAAAATATTTCTTTTTTTATGCCTAAACTGTTATCTTAAACTTAGCTTATAAAAAAGTTTGAGCTTTTTTTGTTGTTGATGCCACAGGTGTCACTGATCAGAGAGGGCATGGCTGGAATTATCCCAGTCCCTCTGCTGACTCTTCTGACAGCCCCAGCACTTGAGAAGCTGGTCTGTGGCACTGATGAGGTCAATATTGAGGTGCTTCAGAAGGTCGTCAGGTGAGTTACCTCATGTTTTCTTATTGTACTTGTCTGATGAGGTCAATATTGAGGTGCTTCAGAAGGTCGTCAGGTGAGTTACCTCATGTTTTCTTATTGTACTTGTCTGATGAGGTCAATATTGAGGTGCTTCAGAAGGTCGTCAGGTGAGTTACCTCATGTTTTCTTATTGTACTGGTCTGATGAGGTCAATATTGAGGTGCTTCAGAAGGTCGTCAGGTGAGTTACCTCATGTTTTCTTATTGTACTTGTCTGATGAGGTCAATATTGAGGTGCTTCAGAAGGTCGTCAGGTGAGTTTCCTCACACCTTTTGTTATTGTACTTGTCTGATGAGGTAAATGTTGAGATGCATCTCAAATTGATTTTTTTTTTAAAATAAGTTATAGCTGACTAGTAATAATTAAAACCTGTTTTAATATTGCTTCATAACTTTTTGATACACTTTTCTAGACAGAAAAATTCATATCAGAATAAGTCTTGAATTTCCTTAAATTTTTTTTACTCCTACAGACTGATTGATGATGTGTTTTTGTTGATGTTTTAGGTATCGTGGCATTGATGAAAACCATGTCTTGGTTAGGTGGTTTTGGGCAGTACTAGACAGTTTCACTAATGAGGAGCGTATTCAATTTTTGAGATTTATTTCTGGACGTACAAGGTTACCCAGCAACCCAGCAGACATTACCCAGCGTTTCCAGATAATGACTTCGGACAGGGTAGGTCCAATTCTGTTTTTATATGACTTCGGACAGGGTAGGTCCAATTCTGTTTCTATATGACTTCGGACAGGGTAGGTCCAATTCTGTTTTTATATGACTTCAGACAGAGTAGGTACAATTCTAGATAATGACTTTAGGCAGGGTAGGTCCAATTCTGTTTTTAGATAATGACTTAGGACAGGGTAGGTCCAATTCTGTTTTTAGATAATGACTTAGGACAGGGTAGGTCCAATTCTGTTTTTAGATAATGACTTTGGACAGGGTAGGTCCAATTCTGTTTTTAGATAATGACTTCAGACAGGGTAGGTCCAATTCTAGATAATGACTTTAGGCAGGGTAGGTCCAATTCTGTTTCTATATGACCTCAGACAGTAGGTCCAATTCTGTTTTTAGATAATGACTTCAGACAGGGTAGGTCCAATACCTAGCTATTTGTGGTACCTTTCTTATGTTTAAATCCCAATGTGTGAAGACTGCTGGGCAAGGCTTTTAATAACACACTAACATACTATCTCATCAAATGCAAATCTCCAAAAAAAATAAAAAAATAAAATAAAATCTTCTTAGTTCACCTGTGTATTATTGTTACATTTACTAAAGCTAAATGTAGTATTTGTTGATTAAAATTTCCTTTATTTTCCACTCTGAGCAGGGTAGAGACAGCTTGCCCACATCGCAAACGTGCTTCTTTCAGCTGCGCCTACCAGCGTACAGCAGCCAAGCAGCTATGGCAAGCAAGCTGCGCTATGCTATCAACCACTGCCGCTCTATTGATATGGACAATTACATGTTAGTACGTAACACTGAGACCAGCCAGGACTCTGATGATGATGTTGTGTAACATACAGGGATGATAACCTAACATATAGGACGCAAGAGGAGGGGGTTTAAAAGAACCAAGTCATCAGTTTCACAGTCGCACCCTTCTTCTCACGATAGTCAGAGGCTTTAAATGTTGAGCTTACTTATTCACTGTTGAAACCAAATGGATGTTTTGTTTACAGATACTTTGCTTGTTCCCAACTATTGTTTTTTCTTGATGCTGAGCTGTGTTGGTTCCCTGGTTAAAGATATGGTTTGAGTCTTGGCCTTCACCTACACAGTGAAATGTTGACCTTTACACACCTACACAGTGAAATGTTGACCTTTACACACACACACAGTGAAATGTTGACCTTCAACCACATTGTGAAAATTGACCTTTTACCTACAAAGTGAAATGTTGACCTTCACCCATTTAAAACAAAGTGTTGACCTTCACCCCTTGAATATTTGACCTGAACATTGTTTTATAAAATTGCATTCAGTGAATTCAGTGATTGTCCATATGCTTGGTGTTGATAGACAAACAGTATTATTTATCCCTTAATTAAGATGTAATTACTCAGTTTTCTACAGGGAGAATCAGAACTCTGTTAACATTATCCACTAATTATGTTTATTTAATATATGTTTCTTGCTGTTTCTTTTGATGTTGTGCCACAAAAGGATTTGTTATATTATAAGATAACATTGCAACATCTATGGTAAAAAAAAATTAAAGATCTAACGCCAGAAATTCGAGACATAATTTTTTACACCATTTTTAAAAAATAGCTTTTTAATTTGCTGATTTTGTTTATTAATTTTGTATGATGTTCCTTAAACTACTGGTTAAAAAGATGAATTTTATAAAATGCCTCCATTACACAAAACAAAGAATTGAAATCAAAATGAAAATTGTATAAGGTTAACAGTACACCCAATTTCTAAGTGTTTGTGTTGTGGTGTTACCTGTTGTCTGAAATAATTCCACTGTGATTCTACAGGTATGTCATCAGATGTTTGTTTTTTATTTCATAAACCACTAAACCAAATCTTGTACAGACTACACCTTAACATAAACCACCCATCTGAGGACTTTTACTTTGTAAAGATCACTGATCATTTTTTTTAATATCCATTCCACTTTAGTAAAATATAAATAGGTCTTCCCTTGTTGAAATTATTGAATTGAAGAGAACTTTGTTGTACCTAGAGCTTCAGCTTCATTAAGAATTGACCATCTGTAGTAAAGAGATTTACCAGCTGCAGAAAGTAAATACCATCTAATCAATACATTTCCATGTTTAGTTTGAGCTATGAGATATTATCTTGATGGTAGTAAGCAGAGAAGCACAGGGTTGTGTATTATTTACCTGTGATGTACACTTTGGTACAGCACCTGGTAAAACTTTGTTGCCAAAGAGAGCAGTTGTTGAGTCCACTTCCCTAGCTACATCAAGCCTCGCTGAAATTGATTAGTTAGGTATAAATAGTCAGAGAGTAGTAACTGATGTAAGCTAGGTTTTTGTTGAACATTTGTTCTTTTTAACTCTGTGTGAAATAAGTTACTCCAGAAAAAGTCACTTTATTTCTGAGGCTAGGATATTTTTTTTTTTAAATTGTTCCTGACAGATAGACATCTGCCTGCAATGGGTTGTTTTTTTTTTAAAGAAAAAGCAGCTTTATATCTAAGGCTAGGTTTTTGTTCAACATTTGTTGACGGCATACAGTGCTATGGATAGAGACCTGCCTGTATTAATTAATTAATTTAATTTAAAGTAGTTTGAAATCCTAGGCTAGGATTTTGTTGATTGTTCCTGGGAGAGCTGCCTGCAATATTAAAGACATTGTAGCTTTATGTCCACACTAGGTTTTTGTTGACCAGTGTCTTGTGTACATATCAATAAAACATAACACTGTCTTATTAATGTCAGCTTATTTATTTATTTATTTATTAGGATAGGAAACGAATTGTAACAATCTGTAATAAATGTGCATACATCACTACATAAACTTGTCTTGTTTGTTATTTTCAACATTATTGTGCTGTTTGGTGTTGGCTTACACTGTGCTGTCTCACAGTGGCGTAGCGAGGTCGGGTGTCACCCGGTGCGGCACTTAATGGTGTCACCCCCCCCCCCCAGAGGCGTTGCGACCCTTCCCGGGGACAAACTTTCAAGTTTTCGATTTGCACCCCCCCTCAAACTTTCGATTTGCACCCCCCCCCCCTCAAGATTTTCTCTATATATTTTGCTATTTTTTGCCTTGGTGTCACCCCCCTAAATGGTGTCACCCGGTGCGGTCCGCACCCCCGCCCCCCCCCCCCCCCTCGCTACGCCCCTGCTGTCTCCTAATTAGTAAAATTATACATTCACTGATTACTTGAGCATTTACTAAATTAGTATTCCTTGCAATATTCTGTTTTAACTGCTTATGTAAAAATCGGTTATAAAATAGTTTTAATGAAGACTGATGTCAATGACCAAAAAATTTCCATCATAACAGAAAACGAGAGTTTATTTACATTGTGTGCAGCTCTTGATTATAGTGCACTGGATGGAGCATTGCAATACAATAATACATTGGGAATGAAGGGGTTGACGGTCCAAAATCTGGCCATGCACCCCACCCCCTTCCCTACCCTGGCTGTTGATGGGTTAAATGAAGGGTCCTGTCCCTTCTCTTATATTAGTTCGTGACCTATATGTTTGTCAATAACTCCCCCCACCCGACCAGTACCAAGTGAAAACAAGTTAGGTGTGCCAGATATAATATCCTGTTTACTGCTGTCTATAAAACCACATCCGTGTTTAGGATCTAGATCTAGCTCTAGTAGCCTGCTCGAAACAGTAGGCGTAAAAATGTAATATGCGGAGGGATGCGGGCGGTCACTTAACAAGTTATTTATTTGGCTGGGGCATTTCACAATACACCAGAACAGAACTGAGTGGTTGTCGGAATTATAATTGGTCGGCAAACATACCCGAGAGAGAATAACTAGAAAACGAGCTAGATCTAGTTAAACTTAGATGTGATGTCTAGTCTATGCAGTTATTGATTTACTTTTACATATGTTAGCTGTAGGCCTACGAGTACAATGGATTAATTGTAAATTTCTAGCAATATATCTAGAATCTAGTAGTTTTCAGAGCAGTTAACAAAAAAAAAAAAAAAAAAACTCTTGGAAATTTTTATCATTAACAAATCTTATCTATTTTTTAAGGACAAGAAAACAGTACATTTTGAACACTTGTTTTGTAGAATGTACCATTATGCAAAGTGAAAATAAATTGCTAAAACATTAACAATCACCCCCCTCTCCCCCACCCCCTGAATGAATTTTTCCATAAACTTTAGGCCTATAGAATCTAGGCCTAATAAAACTATCAGACCTACTTTACTTTTTTCTTTTTAGGACTACATTAATAGTTCTGTTTCTACATATCATGCTTTACGTGTAAATAAAATAAATTCTTTAAACTTATTTATTTGTTTGATTCGTATCCCATCAATCATAACTTATGTAGGTTACATTTAGATACACTACTTCCTTGACCTTTTCCCTTGGTTGAAGCATCGCTTAAAAACCACTTGAGAGTTATCTCAGTGTTCAGTTATTTTCCTCTAATCTTAGCAACTAAAAACAAAACGACAGCTTAGGCAGAACTGAGACAACACCGCCACAGTAAACAGGTTTAATTACTCGGCTGGATGTACTACTAACAGCTGCTGGTGGACTGGTGGTAATCGAGCATAGTTCACAGATTATGGTTTCTATATAGATCTAGGGCATTAGCGGGGATGCAGTGGCTTACGAAAAAAATGGGTCACGCTGACAAATAGAGGCATAGTGTGAACAACAAAGTAACCCGCGCCAAAAAATCTCTTTTTGGAGATGCCAGATTGAACACACGAATTCTAACTTTATTTGTCTTTAGGTCTTAGTGATGCTTCAGGACTGTGTTATTTGAACCATTTTACATATAGCCTAAATCGTAGTTATAAAACTTTACTATATGTCTATTTTACTAGACGAATAGGCCTACAAACACTCGCTATAAACAGATGACTGTTTGTTTGGATCGCTTATCATCAATCACTGTGTCATTTTTCAATGCAGGCTTTACATTGCTCGGTTTTAACTTAGCGATGCAGCGTCGTTTAATCTATGTCTATATAAGATATTATGTCTCGCTTTCTTCCACTGTTAGTTTTTATTTAACTATTTTACAGCCGAATTTGAAATATTTAAAAATGGGGACAAATATAGTTAATTATACGCCTAGGCATGACGATTAAAAACATGAGATTTGTAGAAATAAAATGAAAAAATAAACGGACACAGGCTAGGCCTAGATCACGATGACATAACGCGGTGTAACAGCGAAAGGATGCGTGTGTGTCTAGGGTAAACATTGTCTGCTCGACGAGTGGTCGACGACCAATCAAGAGGTTCATAGCCTCGCTCTTGTCATTCTTTCACTTGAGCGTATTGTCTAAGTATAAACAAGACAAACGCACGCTGGGTTTAATTTAATACCACCTAGGCTACCGAAATATTCCTAAATAATTGGACATCGTTTAATTTTTATTTTATTTTGCGAAATTATTATACAAAGTACAAGTTTAAAGCAGTTGACCATAATAATTTAAATACTTTGAAAATATACAACTATTACAACACGAAAGTGGTAAGAGGTGATTTAGCCGATCCTATCGTTTTGTTGAATTTTGTTGCATGAAGTTGGGCGGTGGTATGATGCAATGTTACACACATTACGCAGATCTAGATCTACTGTTTCAAATGAAGCCTTCAATTTTCCTAGAATCTGTTTAGGAAAAAAATATTATTAAATTTTTTTATTTTTATTTTTTTGTTACAGAAAAATTAGGTTTTACAAGTGTTGCAGGGGAGATGTAGCCAAAATTAAAGTGATTCCCATTTTTTTCCCATAATACGTTTTCTAAATTTTATATGACCATATTGTGTCGTGGTTATGTGTGCAAAATGAGGGGGGGGGGGGGGGGATCCTATAAAATCCTATTATCCGTCCGTTGCGGTCTATGGGAATGATAGGCCTACTTGACTTGAGTTCGAATCCGGGTTCAAGTCAGTAGAACGTCCTTGAGTCCAACCAGCTCTGATGGGTACCTAATTCGCGTTAGGGAAAGTAAAGGCGGCTGGGCATAGTGCTGACCACATTATCCCTTCATATGCCGAGGTAACAGAAACAGGTTAACTCTACTTTACATGCCCCATAGACAGTCAGGTTTGGGAGGGGAACTTTGCTAATTTACTTTACTCCGTTTTTTTTTTTTTTTTTCATACTTCAAATTAGAAGACAGAGAAACAGATTAACTCTACTTTTTCTGTTCCATGGGCCGGTTGGTCTGTTGTTGACTGTAAATTATTTGTTAGGAGTATAAAGAAACAACTAAAGGCCGCTGTACATGGCATGCCGTGTTTACCACTCAAGTACTTTCTATACCATGTTCTCCCCCACCCCCGCATACTCTTAGCTTAGTACGAACAACAGGTCAACAATATTATTTTGAGTCCTGCTTTGTTTTATTTATCCAAAGAAAATAGTTATCGTTGGCTTTAGGGTAAACATGAATGCCTTCTTTAAAATAAAATAAAATAAATATCGGAGGACGTTGATCTTCAATGACTTTTTATTTTTAAATGTTGGTGGGGGGATTTATTTCGGGCACTGCTCCCACCCCCTCCCCCGAAGTATGTTTACCTCAATCCCCCCCCCCCCTCCCCCGGAAAATATTTAAAAATTATTGTAACTAATAACCTGCGAATCCCCCTCCCCCCCCCCCCCCCCCCCCCCCCCCCACCCTGAAAGAAATCATGGTGGCGGATCGTTTTGGCTTTTTTTTTTTTTTAATAAAAGAACAATAAAGTGGGGTAAAGATCGGCTAAAATTGTGCGACAACATCAAAACAATGCCCACTTCACACATTGCATTTGTTTACATTTTTGTTAGTGCTTTACACACTTTGGTAACCGTGATAATGTTCATAGGTTTCCAGTGGCGTAGCGAGGGGGTGCGGGGGTGCGGACCGCACCGGGTGACACCATTTAGGGGGTGACACCAAGGAAAAAAATAGCAAAATATATAGAGAAAAATGATAATTCCACTTAATTAAGTGATTAATTCGAGTGTTAAATATTGTTTTAAGAGGTGCAAATCGAAAATTGAAGTTTGTCTCCGGGAAGGGTTGCTACGCATCTGGGGGGTGACACCCGACCTCGCTACGCCACTGTAGGTTTCTATGATGCAGTTCGCCTATAATATGTATAGTTTATATGATGCAGTTCGCCTATAGGTTTATAGGTTTCTATGATGCAGTTCGCCTATAGGTTTATAGTCTATTTATATGATGCTGTTAGCCTATAATATGTAAAGGTTTCTATGATTTACTGGCCTGAGATCACAATGCACAACGAGTTAATATTAGAGTCGTTCTGTAGCCTACATTCAGGCCGTCTCTAAATGCCTTAATGGTCGTTTTTATTATCTTAGACTGGGTACTAAAAAACTATAGGCTACTAATAAAATAACAACTGCCTTTACCCTAATCTAAGGGGTCGTCTATAAACGACGTCACTCCTGAGGCGGGGAGGGGGGGGGGGGGCATGATGTGACGAGGGAGAAGAGGGTACCGTGATCAAAAAGTTTAAGGACATACTTTAGCAATTTAAAAAGTAACGTCAGAAACTAAATTTTAGCCTTTATTTCTCATTTTATAAGATAATT